TGACATAAATTGATATTGACTTTGCTTGTTACTAAGATGCGCCGTAAAACTATTTTTTGCGTGTTGTCAGAAAATCGGATCCAAATCAAAATTCGATCAGGAATGAATGATAATAAAAATGATAATTGGCATGCATTTTGTGAACATCAAAAGCTTCAGTCGTCTTGAGATTGCTTACTGTACGATATTTTGTTGACTTCATTGTCCAAGACCTCACAGAAGCTTCAAGACGAGAAACAGCAGAAACAGTAATAAGCGTTTAATTTCTTATGATTCTATATATTAAAATGTTAGAATCAAAAGCACTAATCCTTAAGGCATAGAAGTTGACGTGTGTAAGATACATAAGTTGGAGCATCGTTTATGTATACTAAATACCGTTCAATCGGTTTTTTTTTTATTACGGAAAATGACACGCATGACTTCCCGCCGAAAGTGACGTTTTGCGGGAATTCGAACGCTTTAACGTCGCGCCAATAGTTAACTCCCTTGAAACTGTATCGGATGCCCTTAAATCACATTGAAAATTACTGCCAAACGATACCATAACCAATAATACACACTTACTAAGTTATCATTATTTTGAAGGCGAACTCATCAGTTTTGCAACAGAGGTACAAGGCAAGGTGGCTACCGCAGATCTTAGTAAAGCTGCTGAGTTTGCACAAGAAGCACAGACCATGATGGATAACCAGATTAGTGCTACATACAGTGGAATGAAAATCTCAGTTGTAAGATGTATTGTTTTCTTTTTATGCCCCACCTACGATAGTAGAGGGGTATGATGTTTTTCGGTCTGTGCGTCCGTTCGTTCGTTGTTTCGTTCGTTGTTTCGTTCGTTCGTCCTTTCGTCCGTCCGTCCGTCTGTCCCGCTTCAGGTTAAAGTGTTTGGTCAAGGTAGTTTTTGATGAAGTTGAAGTCCAATCAATTTGAAACTTAGTACACATGTTCCCTATGATATGATTTTTCTAATTTTAATGCCAAATTAGTTTTTTTAACCCAATTTCACGGTCCACTGAACATAGAAAATGATAGTGCGAGTGGGGCATCCATGTACTATGGACACATTCTAGTTATATTTGAAAAACTAATTGTGTAAATTAAACGTATTCGAAATAAAAAAAAAGCAAGTTTATGATAGATGTAATGCCGGAAAAAGGGGAAGAATCGCTGCTCTGTCAGGTTCTCTCCCCTTTCCCTCCAAAACGTAAATACTACTAAATTAAATAACGGGGGACGGATATCTTTTCTCTTTGGGACTATTCATATCTTCGGTGTATTTGGGGATTCTAGCTTCTTTCGTGATCTGGGAATTATAGCTTCTATTCGGGTATCTGGGGAATCTAACATTTTTCGGGGATTCTAGCTGTGTCCTGGGGAATTCTAGCTCACTCATTTTCGGTCTATGTAATACCTTCAGTGTGTGTGTCCCTCATCAAAAAGTCAATTGAAAATAGTTTACACTTAAACAATTTACATACCTGGTGAATAAAATACAATGATGTTTTAATGATTTATTCCAAACAGCAATCTAAATTGAAGTGTGATATGTGATGTTGGGAGTTTGCGGTCTTCCCTTTTTAAACCCAACACCACATGCTGATTGGAACTATTTTATTCACCTATGAAATTTTAGCGTCAATTTTGAATTTTCTAAAGTTACTTTTGATTGGTCAACTATTCTCTTTTGTGTTATAGATTTATATGATTGACATACATTTTATTTAGTTACATAAAAGCAATTAAAGGATTATCAAAATCTTTACTTAAAGGGATACTTCGCAAAAAAATGAAAAATTGATATTATGTTGATTATGTATAAAAAACCACAAATTCATAAATATTAAAGTTTTATTCTGCTAGATAAGAGATCACCATCGATTTCAAATTTAGAGTATCACTTCTCCGCGTGCGGCCATTTTGACATCATCCCTGAATAGAAACCACGATATATCTATAAACCACAAAGGACCAAAACAAGCAGTAACCTAACGTAGCCGTAATTGAGTCTCGATATCTTGTCAAGCGTACGGTTGTCTTACCCGACAAGGAAAGCCTAAACAGTTTCCCGGGTCACAAAAAAAGATTATAATAGACATGGTTGTGCATGCAACCTTTCCTAACTTACTTGATACGGAAAATATAATTATATATTATACCCATTTTTCGGCGTAAGTCCGTTTTCTTTGATAGTTTGCTCCGACTCCAAATCTATCGTGACTCATACCCTCAAAGTACATGACTCACGATAGATTTGGAGTCGGAGCGAACTATCAAAGAAAACGGACTTACGCCGAAAAATGGGTATGACGCCGTGGTAGATTTGGAGTTCGAGCAAACTATCAGGAATGTGGGCTTATCACCTAGTAATTTGGTTAAATACATAGAGGATAAAAACTGCTTAAAATAAATAAAAAAAAAAAATAAACATAGAACACCATTACGCCTGTTAAATAAATCAACATTTTCCATCATTATATAGAGAACAGGACACAAATCATATGTCATGTGTCCGTTCCTTCGTCCGACTTTATATGAGATACGATGTGTAATTTTAAGGAAAGCTGAAGTTAAAAGTTTTGAAAAGTCTGAGAGGTGTAAGACTTGTAACTCAAGAATTGATCGAGTTAAGACAAATCTAGTAGTTGCTTCTTTTTTGATGGACAGTATAATAAATATATGTCATGAAAGTGCGCAAATCTTACAAATGTGATATATATTTCTTGGTGAATACAGATACTTTGCTTATATTTGTTTTCTTAAAAACTATGTCGAAGAGGATACATGTTTGTTACTGAAAATTAATCTTATCTATTTAGGAAAACACAAACACAATAGCAAACTCAATCTTGACAATTATCAAAAATGACCAGGATTTAGCTGACAATGCAGTGGTGGATTTATCTGGACTTACTGCTGGTAAGTTTTAAATCTTGCTTTGGCTACTACGAATGTCTTTTGTTATTTCATTGTAACTAATCTGTTTTTGTTAATTTTAAAAAGATTTTAAGTTTGTTTAATATATTTATTTTGTTTTGTTATGAATGATTACTATGCTGAGCAATGGGCGCCATAATAGGCTTAATAAACTATATATTTTGTATCTTTGAATCATATAATCACATATATAATAACATTGGATTTCCAAATAATAATAACTGTCAGAACATTATCGCAGTGAAAGTTCCACTATAACATAATTGAAAAACTAATCTTGAAATGAACAGTAAAAGGGGTATATGTTGCATCAGAATGTCCAAAACCACAGTGTGTCCAAAACCACAAGAAATAAAAAAGTTGATGGTCGTAACAAATAGAGAATATTATATGGCTTTTTCCAACCCGAGACACCAATATAATCCCAAGAGCTCTGCTCGAGGGATTATATTGGTTTAGGGTTGATACGGTGTGTGGTATTGAAAAAAGCCATATCATATACACTTTATTATATATTTCAAGTAGATGTTTTTTTCATGAAACATGACGTCATACAGATTAGGGGTTTGATAAAGCCTTTGAAACGGTGACTGATGTCGATGACGTGACGTCATATAGATTAAGGGTGTGATAAAGCCTTGGCAACCGTTACTGATATCGATGTCATCACGGATGGCTGATACAGCACGATTACCATTGATCGTCTTACACATACAATTTACATGTATTTACTAATAAGTATATAATAAATAATTTTATTTCAGATATTACCGAGATGACAACCGATGTACTCAAGGGAACCAGACAAGCCCAAAGTGACATGACAACCGATGAGGTAAAAACATGAAAGTCGAGCAAGAAACTCAGGAGAAAAACAAACTGTCATTGAATTTTTTTCCGCGTTTCTGACAACGGGAATATGTTATCTAAAAGGCTCGCATTTTATAGCATTATAAATTCGTAAGCAATGTGACGTTTAACGCCACTTTTAAGGACGTCTGCTTAATAATAAAGAACAAAGTTAATGTATGTGTTTAAAGTGTTGTGGTGTAATTCCGGATTATCTGTCAAAAACATAATGTCAATGACTCCGCTACGCGTCGCCAGGTAAACTCAATTTGCGACAGTAAAACTACCGATGGACGTTCGCAAAGCTTCAAATACAATACAGTTATCTCTTAATTTGCGACCTACATAACCACAACTGACGCCGGCGGTGCTTCCAAAAAGAAAGCAAAAAAAAAAAAAAAACCAAAAAAACCAGATAGTTCTTTAATGTGAACACGAGAACGAATCATTTAAGGTTTAAATTTATCTCTTTGTTCTAGTTTGACTATGAACAAAACCAATCGTATAGTCATCTATACAATTACATATACTATAACACATTTTTTTTTATATCGTTAAGTTTTATAAGAAAGTGGCAAACTTTAAATATTACAATATCTTCCAATAACAATTTACTAATAAATTTCATATCCCTTAAGATATTTCGTGCTTGTTGTTATAATTTGATATTTCATTGTTTATATACATTTTCTATCTTGTTTATTTCATCTTTTGGAATTGTTATAAAAATAATGAGATGTGGCATGATTGTATGCGAAAAAGACTTGGATATATGCAACTATATGTCACTTTTGTCTTCTATTTGACAATCTTATGTTCTCAGATGTACAGTAGTGCGAGGAGACTTTATGCTAAAAAAAACAATGCACGGAATATTCAAATTTGATTTGTCTTTTGTTTCAAATCTTTTTTATTTTATTTGTGAATCAAACATAGCATCATGTTTCTAATAAAAGGAAGTGCTAACCCTTGCAACATCTGAGTTCACTCCCGGTTTTTGGTTATTTTTGTTTACTTAACTTTAGTTTACTATGTAATGTTTTCTGGAAGTGTTCGTCTTTTTGTGGTTTTTCGTTTTTTCCCTTAGCGCTGTAAGATTTTCTTGGTATCTTCCGTGTTTCCAATTATATCTGTTTAGCTAATATATTAACACAATCAATATTTTATCAAAGCTTGAAATAGCAGTGACTTCTGCAGAAACAAACCTTATAACTATGGTAAATTTGATGTTAGACAAGCGAGACACAGGAAATACCTCGTCTACAAGCATTGACACGGGTGATGTGTCTGTCAGAGTAGTCAAAGCCAAAGGTCGTGATGTACCAATCGAGTACACCGCCCGAGATGCTGGATTTGCTCTTCCATTCTTTGAAACATTTCAAGATAAAAAGAGAAAGAAAAATGTATCTATAAATGTAAGTTCTACTTATGTTTGCATTAATCATTGTATTCATAATTAAAAAAATAATAAAAAAAACACGTGATAAATCTATCTTCTACGTCTGATGTTTTTTTGTATATGAAGTATTACACATAGATAACAAAAGATGGGAATAACAGTATTTAAATGTACATTTAAAAGCTATTAAAAGGCTATGAAAGGGTTATTATGTTTATCAACCAGATTCCTAAGAATTTCCTCGCCTGCTGATAAACAAACCTTTATTGACTGCTTCTGGAATGTTACTACATGCCTTTCCGTTATTGTCCGTTTATCACATGCAACTTCGTGCATTTCCGGAAATTTGTTTGTAAACATGACAGACGTGACAATAAATTTTTCAAACTAAGAACCTGATAATTGTTGTGATATGTCACATGATAAATCAAACGCTTGTTATATCAATAAAAACAATCAAAGTTAATAAATTTGTATTTGGTTGTCTGTAAATTATTATCTAGAAGTTCAAAGAAATACAAAATTTTAATAGTTCTTGTCTGTATTTCTTCTGCTGAATTATATGATAAAAAGATCATTACATGTCATTTTTCATATCACACCCTTTATCGGCCCTCGTTCATGATATCATCTCTCGAGCCTCCGGCTCTTGGGCTGATATCATGACCTAGGGCCGATAAAGGGTCTGATATGAAAAATGCCTGTAATAATCTATACTTACCGTTTGCATACAGCCTTTACCGAATGCTATTTGTATCGTTCACATTTAGTCTTAACTATACACGCATGGACAAAATGTTTTTCTCGTGTTGCATACTCTCGACTCGAAATGTATACTTGTGTATAAGTATACGATGGTTGCAACTTATTTTTGTGTTATTCTATGGTAAAAGCTACAAGACGTATCCACTAGGTTAAAACAAATAAAAGTTTCATATATTTCACAGGTTCTAGCCTACAAAGAAAGTCCATACCTACATGTTGATAACCCGGGAGTTGTAGGATCGTCCGTTATTAAACTCCACGTGCTCGACAAGAAAGGTAAAGAAGAGAAAGACATAGAAGACAAAGATGATCCTATTGATGTATATGTGAATACGAACAAATTAGACGAAGAAGGATACTTTGAAGATATGACAGAATCTCTGGCAGACTCTGGTGTGTATATAAGTTATGTTGACACCAACGAAACAGCAGAAGGATTTATGATGGAAATAAAACTAACTTCGTTGAAAATCTGTGATATATATTGTAAATATGAAAGCTATCCAGATGCAGATAACTACGAAATATATGTGCAGACTAAAGGAAAAAGTCGAATTAAGTACAGAGATCCACTTGACCTCAGAGTGACCTTTCAAAAACAGATACTAAAGATAACTGTAGCACCGAAAAAAGATGGAAATATGCAGCCTTTAGTTGTCACTGCTAGCTGCGAAGGTATTTATAAGTGTGTTCTGCGTATAAAAGATAATAAAATGTTAATTGCCAGCTGCTTGCCAGACAAATCTGTACTTTTTCATGTCTGCTTTAAATAAGGTATACCTCTGTCTCAAATGTTAATGAAAAAACTTTCTAATGGATTTTTTTGCAATCTTATGATAAAAATGAAACCCAAGGAAACCAATTATTTATAGTAAATTTTCATGAAAAAGATAATAATGAAATAATAGACTGTGTAGCAAACGAAAAGTGGTCTTATTATTTGAGCAAATAAACACGAATGAATTGGAGAAAGTTAAACAATGGACATTGACAAAAACTTGTTTTTTATTGATTTCGATTCAATTTTAACCATTTTTTTGTGTAAAGGTTATAATTATATCTCATATATATTTGTACATCTAGATGACAGAGCGGACAGCGATAGTGGTGGCGGACGACGTAAACGTGCAACTGGGTTATCATTAGGTAAGTAGAAATAGGTTCATCGTTGCAACACAAGCTGCCAACCGGACTGAATAAATCGGTATTCTTATGTCGTTTTGTTTTAAGCCTTACGAACACGGCACTTATGAAGGCGCAGATCCAGCCTTTTTGAATAGGGGATTCCAACCCCGGAACGAAAACATTCACATCATTAAAAAATAAACAGCTGCACCACGAGTGCATGATACGCCCGTCGTCTTGTGTGTGAGGTTTTATGCAATAATCATAAATCGTTTCTGAGATACGGCGCGACATGTGAAAACTTCCCTTTTTTATAAAAAAATCAATAACTCTAAAATAAAATTTTGAATCATCACCAAAAAGTATACAGATCTTTAGATTAATATAATGAAGAAGTGTGTAAAGTTTTAAGCAATAATCATAAATCGTTTTTGAGATACGGCGCGACATGTGACCCCCCCCCCCCTCTTTTTACAAAAATCTCAATAACTCTAAAATAAAATTATGAATCATCAGCAAAAAGTATACAGATCTTTAGATTAATATAACTAAGAAGTGTGTAAAGTTTTAAGCAATACTCATAAATCGTTTTTGAGATACGGTGCGACATGTGAAATAAACACCCCCCTGTTTTAGTTACAAAGTCCCGTAACTCAAAAAGTTTTAATCTTATTTTCACCAAAAAGTATACAGATCGATTGACCATCATAAGAAACAACTATGTTAAGTTTCATGAAATTTGGATAAGTCGTTCTCAAGTTACTGTGCGACATGTGGACGCCGGACAGACGGACAGACAGACAGACGGACGCCGGACATTTGTATACCATAATACGTCCAGTCAAAATTTTGACGGGCGTATAAAAAGCGGTTAAAAGATATCGAAAGGGGAGGAGTGGAGTCCAACCCCCAGAACACCCCCTGGCTCCGCCAATGTTTATGCCAGACACTATATTAGACTTTTCGAAGCTGTTTTCTGGTCGTCCAACATCGGTTTCATGCAGAAACAAGTTGGAAATGGGAGAACATTTAACGTCCTGTGTAGCAGAAATTTGTCTGAAATGGCGGACAGTCACAATTTGAGATTGCGAGAATGAGTTACACAAATGTATGGTGTTATGTCATTCTTTTCTCAGAACGACTTTACATATTCAACAGCTTGACAATGACGAGTTGTCACGTGTGAATGTAAATGATATGTCAGATACCTACTTTCTGTTTGATTTTTTCAATATGTTAAATGAACTTAAAATTTGTGGTCACAAATTTCTGCAATGCTGGTCAGCACATCAAAATTCATAAATTTTATCGTGTGTGTGCTTTTTGGTCGGACCCTACTGCTGGTCATACCGAAACTTAGAAATATGAATGGGGTATGCTTAGCTCGACAACGCGTGCATTTTTGTTCAACATTTTTAGAAAGGTTGACCGTAGATCGAGTCATTTTCTCATTTGTGTAATTTTCTTTATATATTCGCGAATGCATACAATTCGCGAAATTTCTTATTGCATAAAAATGTCTTGTATACTTATAGACATGCAAATCTGTTCAAATAGCAAAAATTAGACACAGCGGTAAATCAACTGACCTTTTTAATGAAAAAATCGCAAACAAAAGCCTACGCGAAAATGTTCCGATACAGATGCGGATCCTAGATTTCGAAAGGGGGCACCAACAAGGCAACGTCATGAGTGGGCCGCAAATGTAGCTCTATAATGGGGGAGGCTTAAATCCGACTCTGCGATATATGTAATGTATACGAGTGCTTTTACTTAGATTAGACACGTTATGCTTTAGTTAAAGCCCCCAATGTTCTTTTCAGTATCAACTACACGAGGCTTCTTCAACCAGATCAGTATAACTGTGCACCGATCTAGTGTGTACTGTAGTTTAATATCCTCAGTTTTTCATTGTTTATATTGGATTATCTTGGGAATAATTTAGAATAGAAAAGGATTTCAGGTTATCATTGTTTCGTCTTATGTTATTACTATCACTTGGTCGATACCTCTACTGGTTCCCCGAGAGTATCACCACCTCAGTAGTCAGAAGTTCGGCAATGGCACGGAAATTACGGATACTGTTCTATTTTATTTTGCTGTTATAAAATTTCGGAATCATTTAGATTAAGGTTTGGCCTTTCTTTTGGTCCTTCTTGGTTTTGTCTTCTTTTAAAGGTTTGTATTAGCTTTTGGACTTTCAAATATTACTGTAGACACATTAATTGTCGATATGCGCATCTGGTGCAATAAAATTGGCACCGTTAATGTTGTTATTACAAATGTACAATGTAAGTCCTTGGTCTCTGGACAAAAGATTAAGAGATATGACTTAAGTACAAGAAGATATCCAAACAACAGCACACCACAGCACACCTCAATGGAAAAAATATGGACCAATGTACTGTCATGTTCTTAAATGAAAATATAATTAGTCTAGGACAAAGATAATTGACCGAGACTGAAAACAAGGGAAATAATTGAACGTCACACAAAAAAACCTGAATTTATAGAAACATTAAATGAATAAGATACCGAGGACAACCAAGAGAAACATTGATCTAATGTGCTGCGTATACGCAGCGGCTAATTATATATAAAACTTTAAGGTACACGTTAAAAACGGAGAGACAAGATCAGCAAAACCTCATAAGTATAATACGGAAATAGTCTACTGTGTTTATTTAATGCCTGCGATCTCAATTAAAATGTAATATTGGTTTCATGAATTTACACTGAAGTAGTGTATACATTTATTGAAAATTCTGTTTACAATGACATCTGCCTTAAATGACGAAAACACATTTTCTTTTTAAAGTTAAACATCAATTTAGAACGGGAATTTTAAACGTTCGGACACTAGAGGACGGATCTGGAAATTGGACATCAAATGACCGGTTAAAGGTAAATTTGTATGTTTGCAGATGCATACAGAAGACATTATTTATAATTACTTCAAAAGTTATGTCTGCCACTAATACAAAGTGGTCTATACGTACCCATAACTGTGCCTGATTTTCACAAAAATATATAATTCCGTTCAAAAAAAGATTTAAAAAGTAAAAATTTATCACGAATTAAAATATTAAAATACGTATTTAATGAAGTAATGGCACTTATATTTCTGTTTTTCATTTTGAAAATTGCTAAAAGGACTCAAAGAATATGCAAAATGCGCAGGGCAAGCAGTTGAAATAACAAATAGATGTTATAACAATAGATAATCTCTGTACTCGAATTCATCATTTTTTGGTATATCTTTCTAAATACCTATAAATATTGAACCTTTTGCTTGTTATGACATCAGACGTATATCAAGATTTTGGATTTCTAAACTTTTTGTCACGAGCGTTCATGATGAAGTAAACTCATCATAGGTATCTGGATAACAAATGTGTACGTCAGACGCAAGTTTCGTCTACAAAAGACTCATCATTGACGCTCGAATCAAAAAGGTTAAAAGGGCAAATAAAGAACGAAGTTGAAGAGTTAATGATCATTCCAGTTTTATCGCACGGATATTAGATCATTACGTACTACGTTTTTATAAGCAATGCCTCTTTTAGAGTTTTATTTATTTGTACTGTGTTTTTTAAATGCACTAAATATACCTTTATTTACAGGACATCGGAGCTGACAGTGGGAAAATCCAATTTAAAAGTAATTTCTTTGGAACATTTTCAGCCGACATGTTTTTCATTGGACCTACTCCTATAGACTTCTCAAAACTCTTTGCCAATTTCACATCATCATTCGAGGACAGTCCGTATGCATTTGCAGCTATCGTCTGCATCATTATCATATTTGGTCTTCTGACAATTCCTTTGTATCGATCGGACAAGAGTGATGAAATTATGGTAATATATTGCAATCTTTGTTTTAGCCCTTCTGTTTTTACATGTTAAATCACAAAACAAAAACCACGTCATGCTGAAAATTGAATATTGGTATACCAAAATAATTTCATACACTGGTTTATAAACATATGTCGATAGTTAAACTTATAACGTACTTTTAAGTAAGTAAGTAAGTAAAATTTGTGTATTTTTAAGTAAGTAAGTAAGTAAAGTTTATCAAGTGTCGGAACATATGTACAATAACGAATAAAAATGCGCTTAACTTGCAACCGGCTATAACATGTTTACAAAACATCACAATACAATAAGGTTTCAACTTAGACAAGTACACATAAGCATAAAAATGTAAGCACATATAACTGAAAAATAAGATTAGCACACAAATTTTTTTTTTATGTTACCAAGACATTGATGGCATTTTGTTTTTCACATAAAAGATATATTTTGTTTCAGTTATTTCTGAAACTGCGGTTGTCGGTTTTTATTTGGTCACTTTTTGTGAAATAGCAAATACGTGATTTAAATTTTAGCCTTTGGAAAATATTCGGGAGGAAGATTGAACATGACGTTGATCCAGAAAATGGGTCATATCACGTCTGCTTATTTTCACATAGAACACAACAAATCTAAATTGACCTTAATCTTTGAATACTTAGTAATATAAGAATATTAGCTTCGCTATTTCTACATGGATTTCTATATTTCTGAATTTCAATTTATTTAGGACTCGAATTCCATACAATATAAAACCGGAATTTATACTTATCGATGCCAAGTTATACTTATCGATGCCAATTTATACTTATCGATGCCAATTCATACTTATCGATGCCAATTTATATTTATCGATGCCAATTTATTTCTAGTGGAGTTTCCTACCTTTGATGGATAATATACACTCCGCAGCAGTAGTGTACTTTATATCTGTAGAGACTTCTATGACGTCTCCTAAAGTTATGAAATCATCGGTGTACGTTAATATCATTGGAAAAGATGGTCCGTCTGGTACCCGTAGATTAGACGACGGCACACGACAGGTAAGGTGCAATGTATTGGATACAAAACAATTAGAAGAAAATTAATGACATGTACTCACGTTCATGAACTTATGTTAAATATTCGGCTTTTACTCATTTTGGCAAAGAGTGCTATGAGAGAATGGTAGGATTTCAAGTCTTTCAAATAAAAAAATTGATATACAAATGCGTTTTTCTTTTCGATGATGTATCTGTCGACTATGGTTCGTTTATAAAAAAAAAGTGTTTTAGTATTATTAAAGAAAAAGAGGAGAAAGATAACAAACTAAGAAACAAAACCTCATAATTCAAAAAGAGGCGGCAAAATCTTGGTTAGAATGAAAAAAAATGACAAAAAGGCAAACACCAGTGTACAAAACGCTAAATTAAAAAAATAAATACTGAGCAACACAGAAAGTAAAATAACAGAAATACCGAACTCCATGGAAAATTTAAAACGGAAAGTCCCTTATCAAATGGCAAAATCAAAAGCTCAAACACGTCAAACGAATGGAAAACAACTGTCATGCTCATGAATTGGTACAGGCATTTCCGTATGTAGAAAATGGTGGATTAGACTTGGTTTTATAGCTAGTTTAACCTCTTCCCACCTAAAAACGTAGTTTGATTTCGGGTGCTCCTAGCATCAAACATGCAAATCACATTCATACTTTTCATCGGAGATATAATGTTGAAATAAAATTCTGAAAGTAATATTTGATAAATTATTTTATAGTGCGAATTGAACAAAAATGTTATTTATAAATTGATTGATATTTTGCAATAAGAATAATTTAACATGTTTTCGTTTTGATAAGAATTTTAAACGTGGAACATCATCGCATTTTGAAATGAGGCTAAATAAAGATCTTGGAGACTTAAAGACAATACAAGTGTGGCATGATAACGTTGATGAAAAAACAGCATGGCATTTACGGAAAATCACTGTTATAAAGGCAAATTCAGCGGAAAGGTATAAAGTAAAGATTAGTATTTAAAATTAAGGATGCCGTTAATATAATATTCATTAATTGCACATCCTACTATTTATTGACAAAAATGACACTATTTTACTCTCAAAAACATTAAAGTTAATTGTAACATGAATGGTAATTTTTCCTTTGATCTTTGAATGAGTTAACCTCGGTTATTTTTAGAGGAGTGCGTTAACTGAATGGTTTTTACATCGTGATGACCGTGAGGGCATTCCGATGTACTGCTATCGCCTAGATTTCCATTGCGTAACTTTCGTTTTGGGTTTGTAACTGATCTATAAACATGATAAATACGCGGATATTTACAAGTGCAAAATAACATTCCTTATCGTTTGTTATAAATACATCTCTTCAATGAATACTGATAACCAATATTTTTGTTTAGAACATAAATTAATAATATGAAAATGTTTTATCGTTAGATATATATATAAGTAAAAAATCATTGATATGGTAAAGCATGGGGAAGAATATCTCAAGAACATTTTGCGACAATCCCGGCAAGGACCGGTAACTCTGCATGGAAGATTGTTTTTGCGGGAAAATATGAATGCCTACTCATATCCAATCTTTTAGAAAAATCGAATTTTTACAGAAGAGTGTCCACCATGCACTTGCACTGCACTCTTATTATAATAGTAGAATAGAATGATATACAAATGGATGAAAATTATATATACATGTAACTGTTATATTATTAACCCTTTCCAGGCGAACGGCATCGCCGCTCATGCGCCGAACGATGCCTCAAGACATCGCCGGTGGGAGGCCGAACGATGCCTTCAGGCATCGTGGATTCGTGAAAATGGCCATGTTCAGTTAACGAGCTTCGTGTTCCTCCCCCTCGTATTTTAGCATAGTAATTCGATATATTCTGAAATCAGTAGGTTTTATGGTTTCTTTTGAGTTACTTTTTGATTCAGGAAAGTGGGAGATAACAAATAAACAGCTGAAAATCGAGTGAATTTGTTTTCAAAATCTGCCGCCATTTTCGTCAATGTGGGACAAACCATGACGAAAGCGTTTCAGTCGTATATGAAAGTATTTTGATGTTTAATCAACTTTTTTTGAAGAGGAAACAACATAAGTACATCGGTAATTAATTCTTACATGTCTCAAAGCTTGTAAAAGTATTTAATTTTCGCGAACAGGGGCTGCATTCCGGTCGTTGTGTTTGTTGACACTGACAAGGGGCGTGGTTTCAATACTTTTGTTTTTGTCGGCAAGAACTCGACTGAACATACGATTAAACCCGATCATACTTTTCACATTGTTTCATGGGTCAAATTCCTTTTAAGGAAAGTCTAAATAAAGCTAACCAATCGTGTTTCTTCTTTGCAAAATTACGTCTTACTTGTAGTAAAAATTGACCTAATTTTTAGAAAATGGCGCTTGAGAAGTTGTGAAAAATCGAGAGTTCTGTCTATGATTTTTTTTCAAGTTTTCAGTTATTAAAATATAACAAGCAAGTGAACGGTATCGCATACTGTTTTCTTGAAATGAAGTAGGTAACTATAATATATAACAACAATCCAGTGTATACTGATTTGTATCACTACAATATACTATTTATCACGGTGAGGTTGAATTTCCTGTAATTTATTCATCATCAACGCACGAACCTGTCTCAGAAAAAAAATATCTCTGTACATTAACCTCAGTTTCAGGTATAGAGATGTGATTGTTTTCTGTGACAAGTGCTTTTGACAATCCACATGAACTTGCGGTCATCCGATGCTCAGTACTTCAGTACTTTGATTTAGTTATTGCACTCTCAAGTCCCACTGTGTGTCGCTTGTCATAGGAAAAGCATCGAATAGGAGGAGCTTAGACCAGTGCTCTAACTTCCATCTCAGAAGTAGTTATTTCACTGTCTAGCTCCGCCTCCTTGGCCTAGTAAACAATGAAATCTATGACCATAAAATGTCCTAAAAATTTAAACAAATGATGCATACACAACAATATATATATAAATAAAAAATCCGGAAAGGGGGTGGGGGACCTACGCTAACGCTAGCCAAACTTATAAACCTGACCCTGTTCACTATACTTGAAACAAATGAATGCCCGAGGAGAGCTACAAAAAGGAATAACGTGGTCTATAAACGAAGAGGCGATATAGATAAATTGTTGGACACTTGTTTTTATCATGTCAAAATAAATATTCCAAAAAATTGTCACTTGATATTATTATAGTCGTTTAATTTCCTCCACTTTTAAAAGGTATATATCTCCGTGAATTGAGCATGCTTAAAAATATTACTATTTACACTTCAATAACACAAAAATCACTCTCTGGTCTTTTAAAATCATTGAAGAAAGTTTCACGGCTACAATTCATTTACATGTACATCTATCATTAATCAAATCCTACTAACAAATCCGATCCATGAGATAAAAGACGTTTTGTCAAAGAAAGCGCCACTATTTGATTGACATATGTAATTCATGAAAAGTACAGTTAAGTTAAACTTTTAACCTTGACATGTGCCATCGCCCATTAATGTTACAAATCATTTATAGCCACGCCTTACTCATTAACATATTTAATCCACTCAAAGCGACGATTTTCGTGAATCAAACACGTTAATTCGTAAAAGGCGTGTTATATATATAACAGGTCCTTAGATAAACAGCTTATTTATTGGTAGAAAAATACAAAGTAAGGAAAAAAATATAAAACCTTGGACACAAAACATAATTACTTATGATTGATTGTTGGTGTTTCACGCCAAATTCAGCACTATTGGATTTTTTGCGACGGCCAGTTCTCATTGATGGAGGAAGGCGGAGTGCCCGGTGAGAACCACCGACCGTCATAAGGAAAACTAACAGTCCTAGTCAAATTATGATTGAAGTCGAACGTACCTGCCACGTGCGGTGTTCGAACTCACAACCTCAGCGTTGACAGGCTAGCGAAACATTAGATGAATTACTTAGACCACTCGGCCACCGAGGCCCACATAAACATAATGAATTAAACACGTAAAATATTAAGAGAACAGAAACATTAATTAAGATATTGCATTTACATTATTTACAACATGTTATGTTCCTAATTTAATGTTTCAACTCCCTCAGGTAAAGTTTACCTTAGATGGATTTGGCTATTTTTAAGTCCTTTTTGGTTATATAGCTCTTCAACTGTTTCGGTTCCTATACATCATTGGCTTTCAAATATTCGACTTTGAGCGTACTTGATGAAGGTAAATCCAGAAAAGCACGTCGGATGCATGAACTTTATAACGTTATGTTTTCATTTTTTAATGAATATTTACAGATATATATTTTTGTGTGGTAAATGGCTATCTTTAGATAGCGAAGACGGCAAAACATGGCGAAGTGTAGAAGTCCTCGATGAAAATGATATTGAAACAGATACATTATTTTATAATTTGACTCAAAAGAAACTATTTGATGATCATTTGTGGATGTCGCTTTTCAAAAGACCCAGATGTAGTCGGTTTACAAGAGTTCAGAGGTTATGGTGTTTATTGGCCCTATTGTTCCTGGCTATGATATCATCTGCCATGTGGTATGACACACCAGATGACAACAAGATGCAGACGATAAGTGTTGGGCCGCTTAAGTTAAACTACAAACAATTTTACGTTGGATTGATGTCTGGTCTTATAGCACTGGTTCCAAGTATGTTATTAGTGTTAATATTTAAAAACCGAAAATTCAAGGGAGAAAAAACTGCCGGTTGTCATGTACCGTGGTGGTTTATTTTTCTGGCTTACATTCTGGTATTTTTGTGTGTCGGTACAAGCGGAACGTTTGTTTTCCTATACTCCCTGCAATGGGGAGGACCCAAGTCATTAGAATGGATGGTTTCATTTGTATTGGCAATTTTCCAGAGTGTTATTATCCTAGAACCTGTTAAGGTGAGCATTGGATTATTTTTCATATATTTCTTATATACGTGTAATCAGCAATACAACAATAAATATGAATTACAAGTCAACCTAAGTTTCTGCATTAATATCTTAAAAACGTATAAAAAAAAAAAAACAGCAAAAACAAAAACAACAATTACTTGAATAATCCTATTACGATATAATGTATACAAACATTAGTTTAAAAACCCCAAGGTTTAACTTGGGTGCAAACAGTATGTCTTGTACTACATCCACCCGGCAATAACACCCATGCGTAGAGGGGTGTCCGTTTCGCAAATACGCAGTCGCGATAGGGATTTTATAGTCCGATTTATTGTGTGTGATTGGCACGTTCTCTGAAATAAAAGAACCCTTTCAACAACTCTTTTAGGGGTTCGCAGGTGATCTGTATCACAGCAAACTTTCTGTCCCTATCCAACATACTAGTATTCTTATTTTGCATTGGTAGTCGAATTCTCGCATTCATCCTAGACGATCACTTTGAACAGACTTATAAGATTAATTGTAAATTTGATCTCCTCCAAAATTTGCATGATATATTTCAAACTGGACCATAAGCAATTCAGTAATCACTACCAATTTTAGTAAAATGTGGTACACAAATAAGAACATGCAATGCAATGTGATATAATAACAGGAGTCATATAAAATAGACATTGTGTATACACACTGGGAGCAGTACACTAGCAATACAATTCGGTCCTTACAAAATCTATCAGCTAATATTTGAATTCATGGAAGAAACCATCGACCATAATTCTAATAAATTCACAAGGTTCTGGTATAAACAAACACGACCAAAGGTTGCAGGTCTTGACAATTTTTACCTTGATCGGACATTTAACTGAAACAGGAGTTTTTATAAGCAGATTTTGTCATTTCTGTATGCACTTAAATTGTATTTTGTTTTATTTAGGCAATATTATTAGCCATTTTTGTAGCATGTCTATTTAAAAAGATGGGAAGCAGGGAATTAGCCGACAAAAACATGGTAATTCCGGTTGTAGAAACAATTAAAGATGTGACAGATCTTGGTAGGTTACCAAAGATTAAACTTGTTCTAAAATTGACAACATTAATTACTAATTGAAATGAAAAAAGACATTTTCAGAAGATGATAAAAAATAATACAATACCTGGCCGTGCCAGTGACAAGAATCGACGACAGTATGATAGATCAATGATATAGTTTAATACCTTATTTACATATATTTGATAAGAGATTGCAAAGTACGAAAACAATATCACAAAAAGGGAAAGGTAGGTCCTTCCTCGTCGTATATTCAAAATGCTCAAAACTGTAATTTTGTTCTCACCATTTACTTATGTTCAGCTATTTGTTTGGTTATTTCATGTTTTTAATTGATTGTCTCAATCCGGATGTTCTTTTTAATACAGAAAAAGGGGAGGAAACACTTACCCAACAGGAATCGTGCATATATCCTGATTTTCCTGGGTTAGAGAAAGAAGATGCTGAACTAGTTGTTGCTCGTCAACAAGCACAGATTGACAAACGAATGTGGTCAAAATTTCAGTCCTGGTTAGGAATGCTGCTATATGTGGTACTAGTGTCCCTTATTTGTTCGCACAGTGATGTACCAACAGCCTATCGTCAGAATGAACATTTATTGCAAACCATTTCTACAACTTATACAGTGAGTATATCATACTGAAACATTTGATCTGTGCGAAGCGCTATTGTTGATTAATTTATATAAGGAACACTTTGAACTAACTGTCAGTAACTGCGAGTACTTTCATATCTGTACTTAGTGTCTTTTTGTTTTTGGGATATACAATACCCGTCCACGTCCACTTTGTGTTTTGTTAGATGTATTTCTATTTGTATTCATCTGATGAGTTAAGCCTTTTTCAACTGATTTTTATAGTTAGATGATTTATAAACAGTATTTGGGGATGAAGTAAGCACACATATCATGATTTCTTTCGGTTATTTCATAGTGAATGATCATCAGTGATTAAGATGTCTTGAGACAATGTTGTGTCGTCCGACATGTCTTAAAATAAAAAAAATAAAAAACTTATTTATCTCAAGAGATGTCAGGAAACGCGTTTGCTATGTTTTATCGTTTTGTACCTGTCTCTTTGGTTGATTATTAGTAATGACAACTTTCCCTCATGTCTCATAGCAACCATTATTAAATAGCCCAAAATGAATGATCTAAAGTATAACGTTTTGATTCTCCTACACTTTATATTTCATTTTAAGCCTAATTCAACCAATGAGATTTACGACTGGATTAAAACTACCTTTAACCGTGCTGTTTACCCCAAGTGGTGGGAATCAGAAGATGACGAACTTTTACGACGAGCATACATACAGAGATTTACGCTAAATACGTACAATTTTCGTATCACATTGTCACGTTTGCGCCAAGTCAGAGTTCAGGGTATGTAAATTTAGAAATCAAGATAATAATTTTCTGTAAATATACCGTTTTTCAAATTTTGATAAACATTAAGGTTTTCTACCCACAGACAAAGATAACCATTTCCAGATTTGGCTAAATGTTTTGGCATTTTTGGGTTACAGTGCTCTAAAACTTTTTGTAGGTCATTGAAGAGTCTTATGTAGATGAGAATCGGGTAAGGCGTAACTGCTATCTTTGATGAGTTTTTGCAAATTATACCTTTATAAACTGTAAATTAGATAAGGATAGGCAAACAATGTATTTTAATATAAACACAAATTTTAAAGGGCACTAGCTACGAGATATATAAAAAATCTAAGCTATGACTTTTTTTGTTCAATCATTAATGAAAGTGAAATAGTGAAATAATAATTTGCTTTTAGCAGCCAGTATGGTTCAAATTTGTCAAAATAAGCTATGAAACATTGATGATGAATTATTCACTGGCAAGTGAATAATTCGACCTCATTGAATCCGTATTCATGTGAACTTCAATTTAACCCCTTAGCTAGAGATGGATAACGCATGAATTGTGCGTGTTCTGTTATTCAAAGGAAAGGAATGTCAACATTGAAAGTGAAACAAAAGTAAATCATTTGATTGACTGATTCGATCCACAAAAAATCATTCTTATAAAGGTAAGAACGATGTTTAACATATATTTTTAATCTATAATATGAAATTAAACAGACCTAGTAAAATCCAATTGCACGTATTCACTATCTATTTATATCTATATTTATGTTTATATCGCTTATATGAGCATCGGAGGTCTTCGGAGGTCAACTCGATAGTTAATTAGATGGCGTCTAGACCAAAATACACACGAAACGAAGCTACATATTATCGAGCCCATGCCCTGTAAATTGTTTATTTTATACTTTTTTATAATTTGGATAAATGTTTTACATTGTTATAAATCAAATATGAGAATTTGAGTCAAATCGGTGATCAAGAATTTGACAGCTAGTGCCCCTTTAATGAAAGAAGGGATAGTTTTATTAATCTTCAATTAAATACAACATGAAAACAACAGTCACATACGCAAATAACTGCTATCAAGACATCAAGTCGTGTAAACTGCAGCAACTACTCTAAAAGCAGAATCTAGGAAAGTAAATAAACAAAACTTATATCATAAGTCGCAATAATATGTATATATATCGATATCATATATCTAAATATATACGAAAATTGGTAGCACTGTGGTATTTGTTATTGTCTAGTAATGTTTTAACAGGTAACTGTAGTGTTCCAGATGTAACAAGGAACGCAGTTGATACATGCATACCAACTTTCAGTGAAAAGACGACGGAAACCGGACATTTTTGTACTTGTGAGTGTATATTTGAATACAACAAATCGTATTTCCAAATTATTTTGTTAATATAAAACGACATGTAGTTAAACCATGTCGCAAAAAGGGAAACAATGTAAAAAGGAATTTTGGCAGGAATCAATATTTGTTTCTTTCATACATTTATTTTTTATGCCCCACCTACGATAGTAGAGGGGCATTATGTTTTTCGGTCTGTTCGTCCGTTCGTTTGTCCGTCCGTTCGTTCGTCCGTCTTTCCCGATTTAGGTTTAAGTTTTTGGTCAAGGTAGTTTTGATGAATTAGAGTTTTGACCCCAATTTCACGGTCCACTGAACATAGAAAATGATAGTGCGAGTGGGGCATCCGTGTACTATGAACACATTCTTGTTTAACCTATCACGCATGAGAATAACGGCGCATCTGTCGTAATCAATATGTTATTAATTGCATATTTGACCAAAAATGTTCAAGCAATGTGTATTATTAAGTAAAATCGAAAAAGAACAAAGGCCTAACACACGAATAATTTGGCAAACATCAATATAGTCGTCTGATCCGTAAATTTACCGATTGTGTCCTCTTCAAGATTGTGACCTTTGGACTGATTATTGATTGGCATGGCGGTTGATGCATGCATAACAGCAGACACTTACCCTGTTTACCCACACGGTCTCGCATTTTTTTGGAGTTGATGCGATTCCCTCAGTGTTTGTTGTTTTCCCTTCATTTTTATCTGATTCATGAAATTTGAACATCGGTAAACTAAAATTAGCCAAGGTGTTTTGAAAAGACGTATGTCGTTTTCTTATGTTACTTATTTCGTTATTAGCGAAAGCATGTACAGTTATAAAATTTTGACAGTCATGTATAACATGTGAATGCCTAATTTTTTTAATTAAATGGAATTCGCGTTATTTTTATTGACAAACTTATATTTCAAGATGAAAATGAAAATAAAAATTACGGAGTCAAAAAGGTTGCCTCTGTTCAATGCACTAAGAAATTAACTTTGAACTGAAACGGCATTTTTACTTTTAAATCGATTGTAATAGACCAATCAATGAAGTAGTGATAATAAATCATGTTCTTTCTCGCAGAAATTTGTCGGCTCACTTTTCATACAATACCTTGCGTACAAATAAGGTCTCCTCAATCTATATAACATTTTAACATACCCAATTGTCTGAGGAGTAATCAACCATTTGCCTTTCGTTGTAACAAGAGTTTTTATAACAAAATTAAAAAGAAAGCACTGCAATTAAGAACTATTACTCACGAGGTTCACGGCGCATCTGTCGTTGAAAAATAACGAAGGTGTTTTGAAAAGACATATTTCGTTTTCCTATGTTGTTACTTTTTTAGATATTGACGATAGCATGTGCTATTATACTATTTTTTGCAGTCATGTATAAAATGTGAATGACCAATGTGTGTTTTTTTAAATTAGATGGGATTTGCTTTATTATTATTGAAAATAAAAATGACGGAGTCAAAAAGATTGTCTGCGTTCAATGCACTAGGAAATACATTTGTGAACTGAAACGGCTTTGTTTTCTTTAAATCAGTTGTAATAATCTAATCATTGGAGAAGTGAAAGTAAATCATGTTCTTTCAGTAAATTGCCAACTCACTTTTCATACAATACCTTGCGTACAAATAAGGTCTCTTCAATTCATTTTGATAATATTTAAGGAGCTGGTACATCTTGTGCAAAACAATAAATACCCAATTGTCTGAAGAGCATTTCTGGATTGATTTCTAACGATTTAAAATGTATTACCACGACAATTACAGAAAAACGACTAAATGTTCACATGACACACATGTTCTATGCTTAGGCAATCATCATGATGTTAACTTAAAATTAATGTTCAAACTGAAATGCGTGTACTGGTGACCACATTATTCGGCAGTGTATACTTCATTCTTTCAATTTGCATTCAGCAATGAAAACACAATAAAGAGTACAAACAAACTAAAGGGACTGAGTGTTCTTTGGATAATTGTTTTCTCACGTTTGTCATTTCAGCATGGGAAGAGTTCAACGAAACAGGTTGTTTTGACGAAAACGAGGAATTTCAATATAGTTTTCTTCATAACTTCGGTGAAAGCAAATCTGCGGGAGATTTGAGTTACACAGGGAAACATGGAAAATACGGACCAGACGGGTATTATATTGATCTTGGACCAAAACAGAGCCTAGTTAAACAATATGTAAACTTGCTACAGGAAAGCAATTGGATTGATTATCGCACAAGGGCACTGTTCCTTGATGTAGTGACGTATAATGCTAATACACGTTTATTCAGTCACATTAAAATTGTTTTTGAACTCCCAACAACAGGAAGTATAACCTTGACAACGGAAGTATGGTCTGCTAATCTCTATCCTTACGTGTATGCATTAGACTACGTTGTACTTTTGCTTCAATTCATTTTTATTATTGTTTGGCTTGTACGGTTTGTTTTATTCATTGTAAATCTGTATCGTTTGAAAACACGTGCTTTAATACGTATATCAACCTATTTACGTTTGATGGAATTGACCTTTGGTGCTGCAGCTATCGTGTGCTGTATACTTAGAATAGATGCTACAATATCAGCTATAGCAATCTTAAAGAAAAGCATAGGTAAGAAGGAGTTATGTTAATTTCATGTAAATGTTATTTATCACAGACTGTAAATCATATATAACATTCAAATTTAATTCTTAAGTAAAAATATAAGAATCCTGATCAAAGTAGAGAATATTGTCAGTAGTTTAGTTATATCCTAATGATTTAGTTCAAGGAGGAAATCATGGTGATAGCAGATTATCGGTAGTTTTGACCGGGGGCGTTTGAAGTTTGACATACGTATATAAGATATGATAATGATAACAATATATATATATTGGATTATCTGCTAAATCGACAAATCGCTTTACTTTTAGTTTCTAAATCTGAATAACCGACATATTTTATTTCTATGATTTGTCAATATAAAAATTGAACATTGGTTTTTTGAGAATTTATTCGAAATGAACGCAAAAGTATCAACGGTACCAATTTATTGCACAAGATGCGCATTTCGACAAATATGTCTCTTCAGTGATGCTCGGGCTCTAAGTAAGTGAAAAAATTAATACGAACGTTGAAAATCTAATGAAACCAAATATGACAAAACTGACGCCAAATAAAGGCAACAGTAGTATACCGGTGTTCAAAAGTCATAAATCGATTGAGAGAAAACAAATTCGGGTTACAAACCAAAACCGAGGGAAACACATCAACTATAAGAGGAAAACAAATGAACAACAGGAACACCGAAGTGCAACAAAACAAACGCCAACACACATAAAAACGAAATATTTGATAACAACTGCCATATTCCTGACTTGGTACAGGACATTTAAGAATAAATGGTGTGTTGAACCTGGTTTCATGGTTGCCAAACCTCCCGCTTTATGACAATGTTAAAAAATATCGCTAAAACACTACGTGACAGAAATAAATCACAAACACACGCAAGAACATTCATAACAGAGAAACGCACAAACAAATAATGTAATGGTCGACACAACATGCAAACCAAAGAACAACAACGAACATATACCACCAAATACGGACAACATTCAGCTGTGTATGAGGACGATACATTCCTTGTTTAAAAAGATTTTCAATATTTTATAGTACATTGTAGTTATTTTCAGTAAAAAAGTATCCGCATTTTTATATCAGTCCACCAGCAGATGAAACGACCAGTGACAAAAATAACTTTTCGTGGCAAAACATTATTGTTCACTGACTTTCATCTCGACAAAAATGAAAAAAACAGCGTTCAATTCTACAATAAAGGTTATAACTCTTACTGGAGAGAATTTGTTTACACTATTGCACTTTTAAAAATTTCGTTGAGTGCATGTAAGCTTCAATTTAAATTAGTCATTTTGTGAATAATTATATAAAACCTACAATCTGTTTAACTGTATGAAAGACTTATTGAATAACGTATTTCTCTGTTTCCTTAGGACGTTACGTATCGTTTGAACTAGTAAGATTGTACGATGCTGCCTACAATGGTTGCCTAGCAGCGGTTCTCTTCATAATTACACTGGATCTTCTTAAACCATTGGAATTTAATTATCACTTCTTCATGCTTGTATCATCTTTAAAGATAGCTAGAACAGCCATTTTTGCATTTATATTTATAATTGCTTTGGAATTATTAGCCTTTGCTGCTCTCCTGTATCTCACAATAGGCAGACAACATGAGCTCTTCAGAAGTATGCCCGAATCTATATATACTTTGGTGACCGTTTTGTTAGCGATGATGACATATGAGTCTGAAGAATTTGATGACATACTTGTGAAGTTTTACTTTGGAATATACACTATGTCGGTTACCATTACATTAGTGAACGTGTTTTTTGTGTTATTGACTATATCGTTTAACGATGTAAAAGAAGGTTTAAAAAATGGCACTCTTCATTACGACGAAAAACTTAATGCACACTTCTGGTATAAAGTAGACAAAATGTTACAATGGTTCATAGACAGATTTTGTTTTTCTTGTAAGTATCATAACGTATGCAATATAAATTCTTTTTGATACTTTGGAAAATATTTTAATAAAATTGCTTTGTACTATTTTTTAAATAAGAAAACGTTTTCATTGTACATGGTAAATAGTTTTATATCATGGTCGATTGCTCTGGTCGATTTATAACACATAAGAAGGGTATATTATCAAGTGGGAATTAAAAAAAGTATCGAGACATACCATATCAACTCCCAACAGACGTCTTATCTGAAAAAAGACGTTCAAACCGAGACACCCAAAACGAATTAAATCTGGAATGCCCCACTTGGTACATTAAGTCAGGCACAACATGTGGTTATGTTAATCTAGTTTAACATGAGCAGTTACAACCTCATTTTTATCAAATCTAGGCTATATGTCGTTAATGAAAACACAAAAAAAAACCCGCACAACCAACTGCCAGAAAAGAAATTAAAGTTTTATTCTTATCGATGATTTTGTTTTTAATTTAGGGGTCAAGCGAAAAAGGAATGAATTGGAGAAACTGCAAGCCTGTGTACGTATTGACCAACTTAAGATACTTTGACTACTGTATGATTTTACCTTAGTGTCTACACGTTTATTGGGAGTAAACTACGTATGGTCCTAATCATTTTTGTCGAGCCTGCGACTTCTGTCGCAGAAAGCTCGACATAGGGATAGTGATCCGTCGGCGGCGGTGGCGGCGTTAACTTACTACCTTAAAGCTTTATATTTTAGAAGGTGGAAGACCTGGATGCTTCATACTTTGTATATAGATGCATTATGTTATGAAGTTTCCGTCTTTCATATGTCCATTGTCCTTGACCTCATTTTCATGGTTCAGTAACTACTTGAAAAAAAAGTAAGATTTTTTGTAATGTTAATTTTTCTCTTACTATGAGTAATATGATAACTATATTTAGTATGTACGTACCTTGCAAGGTCCTCATGCCTGTCAGACAGTTTTCTTCTGACCTCGACATCATTTCATGGATCAGTGAACAAGGTTAAGTTTTCGTCGTCGTCCATATATCAGATACTATAAGCAATGGGTCTACTATATTTGGTGTATGGAATGATTGTAAGGTGTACATGTCCAACTGGCAGGTGTCATCTGACCTTGACCTAATTTTCATGGTTCAGTGGTTAAAATGAAGTTTTTCTGTTTTGGTCTTTTTTTCTAATACTATATGCAATAGGTCAACTATATTTGGTGTATGGAAATAATTCACGATAACATATCAGTCTGGCAGGTTTTATTTGACTGTGACCTCATTTTCATGGTTCATTGCTCAGTGTTAAGTTTTTGTGTTTTGGTCTGTTTTTCTTAAACTATAAGCAATAGGTCAACTACATTTGGTATATGGAATGATTGTAAGGTGTATATGTCTGTCTGGCAGGTATCATCTGACCTTGACCTCATTTTCATGGTTCATTGGTCAATGTTAAATATTCCTGGTTAAGTTTGTTTCTTAGATACTATAAGCAATAGGTCAACTATATTTAATGCATAGATTGATTGTAAGGTGTACATGTCTGTCTGGCATGGTTCATCTGACCTTGACCTCATTTTCATGGTTCATTGGTCAATGTTAAATTTTCCTGGTTAAGTTTGTTTCGTAGAAACTATAAGCAATAGGTCAACTATATTTTGTGTATGGAATGATTGTAAGTTGTACATGTATTTCCGGTTTGGTTTATCTGACCTTGGCCTCATTTTCCTGAATCGTTAAGTTTATGTGATACTTGTAGTAAAGCTTTTTATTTAGGACTATCAACATAAAATCAATGATCAGTAAAGAGGCGAGACATTTCAGCGCGTGCACTCTTGTTCACTGTTGATGGCGTCATTGTAAAATGTTAGCAAAACAAATAGGATACAGTGACTCATGTAAGTCGTTCCGTTGTGGACATTCTGACTTTGGCATATATCGTTGATTATCTTGACATACGGACCTGCAAAAATTGATAAAGAAAGAAGAAATATTCTGAAATTTGATGATACATTAAAACCAATAAAAGAAAATCGCCAAAAATACCGCACAGTACAACAAACTGATTCAACCAACAACACCCGACTCCTTCGAAAAAAAATCCAGACATGTAAAAAAAGATAAATTAGAAAAACAAAATATGGTCAAGATAGCCTAACTTGAAATAAGCATACAATGCGTTTGTGCTTAACAAGTTTTACGTAAGTATAAAATGTAGAATATATTAAGTTAGTTTTATAATTGTTACTGCTTTTTAGCTTGAAAAATTAAAACATATGACGAATACAATGAAGAAAAATGATCTAGAACGACATAAATTGACTGCCAGAATGATGATCAAAATGATAGAACTGGACAAATATCGAACGAAGCTGGACTGTCTTAACGTCCAGTGGAATGAGTTTGCTACTAAATATGTGTATGTATACATGTTTTTTTAGTTTTTCACTTCTTCGATTTCACACAATGGTTATTACATTTTCAATTCATATTTTGATAACTATTAATTTGAGATTTATAACATAATTTATAATGCCGTTACACTATTCTATAATATATAAATAAACTATCACTTAATTAATGAAATTATCGAACAATGCACTTGAAAGTTTAAAATTTTTATTGAAGTTGTCATCATCATCGTCCATTAATTATGACTCAAAAAGGTATAAATTAGCAAAAATATCAAAACTCCAAGGAAAATTCAAAAAGGGGGAAGTTAATAAAACATGTTATAGAAAAGGAACTTACGGTACAATGTTACTGCTGCTCATATTTAAAAACGTTTGCTATCTCTTTGCTTTGCTTACAAATATTATTAATACATTGCTATAGTTTACTTAACATTATTTTGGGTTCATTTTCAGATTTGGATATGGTTCAACAGGAGAGACATTGGTGATTTTATCTGTTCCTACTCTGTCATGTGTAGTAGAAATCGATATATTATGTTATTTAGTACCCAGTTTGCGACGTGATGCTGCAAGAAAAATGAAAAACAGAGTTGTTGGCAATTCCTTTATGTTTTGCACTTCAGATAACAAACTTTTGAAAGTAAGTCCGAAGGTCGAATTATAGTTTGTCTTTAAAAGGAAGACTTCGTGTTGCTTAGTCTTTGGTTTTCTATGTTGTGTCATCTGTACTATTATTTGTCTGTTTGTCTTTTTATTTTTGGCCATGGCGTTGTCAGTTTGTTTTCGATCTATGAGTTTGACTGTCCCTCTGGTATCTTTCGTCCCTCTTTTGTAAAGGTGAAAGTTTAAACCACTGACCAAAGTGGATTGTTTTAAAACGTCAAAGGTCAGATGGAATATTGACACTTTTGAGGAACCAACGGCATTACCACCAGCATTGTGCCAAGTGTCTTAGACAATACCATTAATGGTACCAAGTTTATTGCATCAAATGCGCATTTCGACAATCAATGTCTCTTCAGTGAGCTCGAGCCTCGTGTCCACAATATCTGAAAGTCTAAACCTTATAGAAACAAATTGACAACCTAGGTTATGGAGGAAACTTAGTTATATTATATATTAAGTAAAGTCGGCATTATTTAAGCTTGTAGCACAGTTCATGATCTATAATAGATTTGAGATGACTTACCTAAGCAGTGTAGCTTAATTCTAATATACAGTAAAGAACGGCAATGTAAAAAAAACTGGTCATACAGTCACACAATATTTGTTTATACTTATCTCTTATCTACGACCACGCTACGACATATGTTCTCTAATAAACATCTATCATACATATCTATATACAAAGCTGTACTTTATTGATACTTGTTATTTTCCGTGTTGATTGTAGACGAATATAAACATACCTCTATGTGTATTCAAATTCAAAATCTGGAACACATATCAATAAATACGTACATATGCTTTGAATTTAATTATCATTATCATTTTTTCTAGATATCAACAATGTATCTAATAAAGAAACATGAAGTTGAAAATCTTTTTAACATTACGTTACATCAAACCTGTTAGAATATTATGGAATTATTGTTCATACACACATCAATTAACATCCAAAGCCAAATATCTTTATCATGTTTATATTCCTTAAAAAGTCTAAAATATGTTTGTTGAATTTCAGGGATCTGTCAATTTAGAAGTTATTAGTTCCAATAATAAACCAAACACGACGTATAATACAATTGTTACTAAAACGGACATAAATTCTGTATGGGAGAAACAATATAGTTTTGAGGTAGGTCTTAACTTTGAAGGAGTTTTAGCTAGCTTTACAACCAGTTTTAACAAAAATTCATTTACCAAGGCAGGAATATGACGGTTGGTTTTCACTCGTTCCGTTGGTTGGTAACGTTTGATTTTGTCAGTTTTTATCTTGGAGTTCAGTATTTTTGTTATAACTTTTTTAACAGAAAACATCAATATTTTCTAATGTGTAATAAATAAATGAAGTTGGTGCAACAAATAGATTTGTCCGAAAAATAATAAACTTTCTCGTATGAAAATATAGATTTATATATGTGTGTAAACATCATTTTGAAGTATAACGAAATTGCGTTGTTTGAAGGTGTTTATTGAAAAATTCTGAAAACAATCTAAAAAAATGCACTGAAATAATAATAATGATAATAATTATAATATAAACAATAACAAATCTAGTTAATGCTTAAATCAGTCAAATTTGACACTCATTTATTCAGGTTCAACCAATTAAAATAACATATTATAAATTCAGTGCATCCGAAGTGCTTCTGTTATTCATAAATCGTGTTTGATTCCATGCTTTAAATCATTATATATATTTGACATGCCGAAAAGTTGATGATTAGGGTATGATGTATCCAATGAAGGTTTTCCCGGAAAAAAAAACCATTTCGTGTTTACTGAAATATGTTCATTGCTCCCATTCATTCTGCAAAACATACTGCTATGTAATATGTAGTGTCCTTCAGGACGCTATAGTCATTCTTGATATAAAACTTTTCGATAAAAGGGCTCTGTAAACAAATATAAAGCATCAACTTGTGTATACCAATATTTTATTAGCTTTTGTCTGTTATCGATACATTAGATAAAGGAGCAGAACCAAATGACAACATCCTTTCCAAACACAAAAAAAAAAGAAAACACTGTGTAATTATGTACGTGATATTTCAGACAAATTCAGGAATACATGCATCATTACAGCACATCCCATTCCATTTTTGTACGATGGAGACAGTTAAGAATGACTCGGAAAAAAGGATTCGTCCATGTGAATGGTATCAGGTTCAACAGGAAGGAAGGACTATATTTCCATCATATGATACTGAATCTACTGTTTCATTTCCAAAAGATACGTTTAGGAAAAGCTGCTCAGTTTCAATAAGGGTAAATAAAGTATACACATCGAAACAAATGTATTCTAAGTAATGATTTGTTAACTAATATTTGTCTTTATGTTAGTTTTCCTTGAGCAATAGTGTTGTTTCGTGTGCTTGTGACTTATGAATACACTCTTCGAAACGGTACAAAGAGATTAAGTATTAATTTTCGAAACAAAGTCCCTACACACAGTAGTTACAGTCAGGTCTTCAATATGCAGCAAAGTTTCACTCCTCACTTACTTCTCTGTATTGTTTTTTTTATTTAACTTTCAATTCATTTGGTAAACACAATATTTCGTAATTTTTTTTCTTCAAAATGAAACATAAAAAATTACATTATATAGTTTTAAGTAGATTTATTTACAATTGCGCAAATGAAAAAGATATAAGGAACGATATTAGATAAAATAGGAAACCTGGGATTTGAGTAATGAAACGCTACTTCTACCAATTGCCGATTTTGATTCTTTTAATGTTTTGTGCAGGGGTTAAGAAATAAAGAAAATATTTCATTATATATTTTGTTTGCAACATATTCTTACATCTACACTTCTATATATAGTAATATATATGTAGGACTCTGAACCGCGATGGTACTCCGAACCGCGATGGTCACTCTGAAGTGCGATGGTTTGACGCTGAAGTGCATTTTTGATCACGCTGAAGTGCGATGGTGTGATTGTGACGCTATCTTGTTGATAGCTAGGCCGAAGTCCGATGGTGGTAACGGTGAAGTGCAATGGATCGATGCCATTGCTGGTAGAGTTTTTAATCCCCGAGGGTATCACCAGCCCAGTAGTCAGCACTTCTGTGTTGACATTAATTATCATTGATATGGTCATAATTATAAATTAACTGTTTACAAAACTTTACATTTTTGAAGTACTAAGGCTTTTCTACCTCAGGAATAGATTTTCTTACTGGTATTTGGCAAAACGTTTAGGAATTTTTGGTCCTCAATGATCTTCAACTTCGTACTTTATTTGGTCTTTTTAACTTATTTTGATTCGAACGTCACTGATGAGTCTTTTATAGACGAAACGCGCGTCTGGCGCAAATACAAAATTTCAATCCTGGTATCTATGATGAGTTCATTTACATAAATCAATGTTCACATGTAAATGTAGAAGTGAATTGTTTGTTGGAAGTAGCTTTTCAGGTTTATTGTAAAGGTAAAACATCGGGAGTATAACCTGTTTAACTCAAAACAGTCATGATAAATAGTCATTGCCTTTCCAGTCCTAACTGTAACGTTGTAGAGTACTTTGTAAATAGCTTCAGACAAAAAAGCAATTATTTATTATAGTTCATACAATCGTTTAGATATTGACCACTATAAAAGCTACATAAAAGTTTATTTTCCTTTAGTGTAAACATATTTTATTAATTAAATTCAAGTTAAATAATGTACACAATTTGGCATTTACATAGTAATACAATTGAATAATTAATAGGATCCGGAAACAAGCTGGTAACTTATATTAATCCGTTTCCTAATTCAAATAAGAACATTTCATATTGTAATACTCAAGGAGTAGAATGTATAAAATTAAACAATGTTACACAAGATGGAAATCAAACAAAACATATAATAAGGTTGTGAACACGAGAAGAGAGAAAAAAAAAATTAGATACATCGGAAATACAATAATAAAGTGCATGTTTTTGAACGGACACAATTATTTAAGATATAAATATACACTGTAGACTTGTTGATGTTTGAAATCATATAACAAATCTTTTGCTGCTGAGTATGAATGTTTGAACTGCCAAGAATATTTCAATGTTTTGTTCGTAGCTGAGTTCCGTTGAACCGTATAACAAAATTTCTTCTGACAAGAAATGTATGATTCTGATGTTATAAAAATGCTGTTCATGCATGATATGAAATGGCAGACAGTGCAACAAGTAATGCGCTGTTGTTTCTATAGCACCACATAAACAAAGTGGCGAGGCCACTATATTTTTAACAAAAAAGATGTTGATTTAGAGAACTGAACTGCATTCGAAGTCTTGAGTGATAAATTTGACCTAATCGCTTATTAATGTAATAATAATTTGGAGGTTGAGTCACCCGAGATGGACACAATTCCTGAAAGCCCCAACAGAAGTACTATTCTTAGCATTCCTAGGGAGGAGATTCCAAACACTACTTGATTAGAAAGAACGGAACAAAATACGCGGAGAATTTATACGGCTGTTGTGAATGAGAACAAGGAACAAGATAGTTCTTACTGCAACAGGAGAAAATATTGAATATTTGTATTTACTAGTTTATACTAACTAATAAAAGAACAAAATCTTATGATAATTGGAATAATTAAACATCTGTAGACCATCGCACATCAGCGAAAGGACCATCGCACTTCGGCGAAGACCATCGCACTTCAGCGTGACCATCGCACTTTCAGCGTCCCCATGGTATCTACGAGTCCTTCATATACATACTATCATGTATTCTTTTACTGTTGACATGGAATATCATTGATATATTCACTTTCTGCAAATATTGTTTATAAAATGTTGAATTATTGGAATAGCAGGGATGTTCTACCTCCAGGCATAAGTTGCTTTAAATGTATTTGCCGCAACCTTTCGGAATTTTCGCCTGATGATGCTCAACAACTTCGTATTTTATTTGGCCTTTTAACTTTTTGATTCAAGAGCCACTGATGAGTCTTGTGAACAAGAAACGTGCGTCTGACTCACCAAATTATTATGCTGGTATCTTTGTGTAATTTTTGATACCAGAAAAAAACTGAAGACACACCAAAATTAGTTTCTTTGAACAAAAAAAGGCTAGACAATATCTTACATTGTCTTAATTTCGTATCCATTCTTAAATAGATAGGCAAATATTTTGTACGATATTGCACTCCCAAAAATGTGTGAATTCTTCTTTCTTTGCTTTCTGAGTAAAATGTACAAAATAAAGTTCCCTTTAATTTACATTACATTCAACATGAATATCATGGAAAATTCTATGAACAGTCCATAAATACTAATTTCTATTTATTATGAGAAGATAATACCAATAAATTATTATTTTCAAAAAATTGATTGTAAAAACTTTTGCGAAATTTCTTTTTCTTCTTTTTTCTAAATTTCTTTCAAAGTTGTCTTAATTAGAAATACCTTTTTTAATAAATTTTTAAATATTTGAAATTGCAATACTAATACCATAATTCCTGTAAACACCTTTAGAGCTAATATTTTAGTATACTATTACTAGATCTTTATTGCACTTTGATTATCAATACGAGCTTAACGAGTTAAAAAATCTTCGGGCATTAACAGTAATGTTTTTATGATTTATTGATGCATTATTGTAGACAATGCCTGGTGAAACTGCATCAATTTTGAATGTTATCCTAGAATTTCCACCAGAGAAACCAATGACAGTACATCTGCCACATTTATCTACAGATGGAAATAATTTGAAATCCGGTGAGATTTTTGTTTTGATATATACAATGTTTATTTATATAAAGTGCTATAGCATCAATATTATATGAACTATTGCTTTTCGTTCAAAAAGGGAGGAACTACCAAGGGAGAAGCAAACTAGTAGTCGAAAACAAACTGATAACAACATGGTCAAAATGAAAAAGGCAAACGGATAACAATAACAAATTCCTACACAGAAAACTTAAAATAGAAACCGCCATCAAAAACCAATTGTTTAAAAATGTGTTCCAGAAGGATAGTCAGCTTCTACTTTAAAGAAGCAACAGTTGCATTTTTCATGATAAATATCTATAATTATCTAGGGATTGTTCACATTCTAGGAAAAAAGGCGGATTCCTTATTTTACAAGTAGAACATATGCGTGATTACATACTGTAAAATGAAAGTACACATTAGGGATAAATTAGTAAATCAATAGAAGCTGTAATAAAAATGATTACTTATCTTTTAAAATTTCAGATCATCCTGCTGAGTACATTATTTCAGCAAAAGAGGGATCTGAACAGGAACATATTCGACTTAATTCTGTTTTGAAGAAAGATAAAGATGGCTTCGATTTCATGTATAACACAAGAAAGCATTGGTATGTTTGTTGCTTATGGTAATATAGTAACCGATATCTTATCTTAATTTCAATATAAATTGATCATTTTTGGTATTAATGGAATGGAAATTTAAAATCATAATATTGACATATGGACATTCCAGTAATCTTATATAGTATTTTTGTCGTGATTTTGAAGACAACGTACGGTATGCGTATGTTAATTTCCATTCTTTTTTTTACTTTTTTTTATATAGCTATTGAAATTACAATGTATTTTAAATATTTGTATTTGTATAAAATAAGACTTTTAAGAAATACATAAAATTCCAATTTAGTTTGATGAAGTTTAGAGGTTATAGGTGTAATACCACCAAATCATAGTACGTCACATCCGAAAAAGGCTCTGAAAAAAATATTCCCGTGAATTTGACAGTTTTAGGAAATTAATCCTACATTTCATTGCAGTAAAAAAAAATTCTGAGTCATAAAAATATAATCTTGGGTGTTTCAAAGCATTATTCTTTTCTATTTGGTATTTCTATAGAATATGTTGGAAACTTGAAGTTACATGGTTACTAAAGCTTGTACACAGGAAAAAAAGGGGTGAACATTTGATTGGTTAACTTCCAGTGATGGTTATTATCTTATATGCAATGAAATGTTATGTGAAATTTTGTCTGTAGTACTGGAAAGGATAAAACTTTACTCATGCCAAGTATTTCTTTATTTGAAACAAAGATAAATTCTGCACAATTTTTTTAAAAGTGCAAAGTTAACAAAGACTAATAGGGGAAAAACAATGGTGGTATTACACCTATTATGGGAAGCTGTACATGCACCTTTGGCCTTGTATGTACTCTTATTTGTTAAGATTTCATGCTATTTAAGTGAAATATTACAAAAATGAAATATTCTGAGTGGATTGAGTCTCAAAAACACATTTGAAGAGAAAATAGCCATGAAATAGGACTCTACCATGAATATTAGTAGACAGAGCAAGCCCTACTCAGTGTTTTGGGGAGCTTTTTCTCCTTATTTCTTATATTTTGCTATAATAGAAAACTTTTTCATAAGTAATGCTTTAATAAATATACAGTTATAAGTAAATGAAATTATTTTTGAAGCAGTAACAACAAATCATTCACTTAAAGGGAAGCTTTTAATGTCCCTCTCTGATGCGCGACATGAAGTTAAGTTTTACGTACGGACTTATTGAAACCTGCATGGATTCAGTAAACTTTTATATGGATATTTGATTCAGCTTGAATACTTCAATTACTCATTTATTATTACATTTCTTGCATAAATGTGTGAAAGGTACCCCAAAATTTTGATTTATTGGCCTAACAAGTTGAAATTTTGAGGAAATAAGAGGTATAAATGGACCAAAAGGGACATTATAATGAAGACAAAGAGGTCCATTAGTGGTATTTGTCATCATATAGTCATCTTTTGTATCATATTCAACTGTTTGTTGGCAGATGAGATAAATATTTGATCATTTATTTGTCTACAATATATTCTTTCATGATGTGGCTTGATTTGGATTTTTCGAAGAAATTTTGTTCGAATCGCTGTTGATGTCGTCTTACTTTATACAAGATTTTTCTAATACTATTGAACTGATTATGACAAAACTTGATAGTAATGCTTGAAATAACTAGTATTACAAAGGAAAACAATAACATTAAGTTTATTCAACTAAAAAGATTTCTCTAAGTGTAATACCTCCAAATCATAGTACATCACATCCTGTTGCATACGAAAAAGGGTCGGAAAAAAATATTCCCTTGAATTAGACAGTTGTAGGAAATTTATTCTACATTTCATTGCAGTAAAACATTTCTGAGTCATAAACATATATCTTGGGTGTTTCATAGCACCATTCTTTTTTTATTTGGTTTTTCTATAGAATATTTTGGAAACTTGAAGTTACATGGTTACTAAAGCTTGTACAAAGGAAAAAGGGATGAAAATTTGATTGGTTAACTTCCAGTGATGGTTATTATATTATATGCAATGAAATGTTAGATGAAATTTTGTCTGTAGTACTGAAAAGGATAAAACTTTACTCAAACCAAGTATTTCTTTATTTGTAACAAAGATAAAATCTGCACAATTTTTTGAAAAGTGCAAATTTAACAAAGACTAATTGGGGAAAAACAATGGTGGTATTACACCTATATAGTGATATCATTATTGATAATACAAAGAACTATAACGTCGATATTAAATAACAATTTTTACGGAAATTGATACTGATATCGTAATTGAAAGATCGTCACCTGTCCTGTCTGTAGAATTTCCTTCATACATAAGAAAATTGTCTATTAAAGAATACCTGATTTTATTTGAAGCTGAACGTTTGTGTTTTAAGAGGTTTCTACCTACTAACATACACAAACTCCGAACCCCATCGAAGACAACGATAACATATCTTATAAAAGATTCTAACCTTTACTATAGAACTTGTTTTAGCTATAAATCCAGGTTTAATCCACCATTGTCTACATAAGGAAATGCCTGTACCAAGTCAGGAATATGACAGTTGTTTTCCATTCGTTTGATGTGTTTGAGATTTTGATTTTGCCATTTGATAATGGACTTTCCGACTGAATTTTCCTTGGAGTTCGGTATTTTTGTTATTTTACTTTTTAATACTGTATGGCTGTTTGAACAAGAAGCTGTAACAAACTTTTGGAAATTTTTTAAAATTAAAGAATGTATCTTCCTCATGCAAAACACTGATTCCTTGCCCGGCTTTGGCCTTTTTTTTGTTCGTTTCGGTTTTTTAGTTTTAGGTTTTCGAAAATTTGGCCTCGAGCATCACCGAAGAAACATTAATTGTCGAAATGCGCATCTGGTGCAGAAAAATTTGTACCGTTAATGTTATTGTATCTATATTATTACAAAATATAGAAATGTTCATTAAATATTTGTAACCGATATAGCTCATATCACAGATCATAACTTCTGAAAAACATGCTATGCGTTCCCTCATCTCTGAAAAGTGGATTTAAAAACAAAACTTTATCTACCTATATACAGGAGTCAAATTAAGCTATATCTTAAACCATCTGCAAGCTATAAATTGTGTGCATATAAATAGCAGTTAATGTTTTTTAGCATAATTTGTTGTCCTAATTGAGTAAATTTTGTGTTTCTTTTGTGGAAGGAATTGGATCTGCAGAAAGGCATTTCAGTTCCCCTTTTTATAAAAACTATTGCGTGAATCATTTGTAAACGTTGATGGTTTGTGCTTCATGCTTTATGTGTGCTATATATACAAGTCATCAACTCCAATGTAACCCTATAAGTGATTTTGACCTTTCATCAAAAATCACTTTTTAAGGTTCCCGGTTGTCAGAAAATAGGACTCTGTCTAGTCACACCGGTTATGAATAATGCATGTCTTATATCACATGCTTATAAATCACCAAAGAGTTCATCAATAAATGTTTTGGTCATTCGTTATGTGTTCTGGTGATATATTTACAATACATTAATATGTTTTACCTATAATTTCTTTAAATACTGAAAAAGTAGATGTGGTATGATTACAAATTTGACAACTATGCCCAAGAGACAAATGGATAATGATGAACATAACTCTAATAATTGTACGGCATTAAATCCATTCTGTATAGGAATCAAAAAGAGAAAATTCATGTTCTTATTAATATTGAAAACAATGAACGAGACACAAATACGTCGCCAAACAACAACCAACGACAACCACTGAATAACATGCTCCTGACTTGGGAAATACACATAAAGAATATGACTGGCATAAACATGTTTGTGAACGCTCAACATCTAACCAGTTACAGCAGTGTAACATCGCAATATAAGAACAAACTGTAAAAAACCAGTTGGAAAGTGATTGATTCATCAGATCTATACAAAACTATAAAAAAAAAATTAACAAAAATCATGACGAACACAAAGATACAATCTCAGAGAACTCGCAGTTTCTGAAGCTATTTGAACGCCTATTTCAACTTATAAAGAAACCATGTTTTCCCAGAGTAAAATATCAATACGCATCCATGCCGTTTACAATAACGTCATTGGTTTTTCTCTTTTCTTTTAGGAAAAACCTAGAAGTAACTGTAAAGAATTCTAAAATTTTATGGGTAATTTTAGTTAATAATATCATCTGTCAATACATATTTTTTTGTATCTAAGGATTATTCATTTTGCTTGGTAAATGTTATGATGAAAGTATCACGCCTTATCCGGTATGTTTGTTTTTAAATGAATGTAATGGAAACAAATGATATGGTGTATCAATTATAAGAAACTTCTTACATATGAAAAAAATCAAAAGCACGGTGCTTTTATTGATGTTCTCGGTCTCCTCCTCAAGTTACAATGAGGTTTTCAAAAAACCTTGTTCTCATTACAAGTGGATGTTGGACCCTAAAGCCGGTTTGAGCAGACTTGTTTGCTTAATGTCGATCTTGCTACATGTTTGCATCGAAAAACATAGCTTCTAGGCAATATTAATTATGTAGTTTGGTGATGATGTACTGTGTAAGATCACTATAGTAGGTCTAGCTTTTTAACTACATGTATATGTACCTATCATATAAATTCAATGTTGTTAAAGATACAACTGATGAATATTATGATTTTATCGTAGTGTCTACGACAGTTTTTATTCCCGAATAGCCTCATTACGTTCGTTCAAAACAAACAAGTATTTTTTCACCAAAAACATGAAAATTTAGAGAATCGAAAACGACAAAAAGACATAAATACAATATTTAAAAAAATCTACGGTCAATTTTGCTTGCATGAAATATTATAATCGTTAAAAAAATATTTTACTTATACACTTATCATTTACAATCACTATGTATCATCAGATCTTGGTCAGTGCTTTGAGCTGAATAATGAATGTACTAATGAGTGTTTTGGAAAGATTTTGGATCTAACACATTTGTAGTGTCTCTCTTTGCCATGTAAATCTACTTGTAAATGTAATGTGGTAGAAGTCTGATTAAGCTGGTAAAATATATTAATGAATTTGATGTACATGTTAGTGATTTTTTTTTCAGGTTGACAATTTCGGTGTGAATACAAAATACGGTAAGCATGCATACGGTACACACTCTGTAAAATAGTAAATTATCCAATATCGTCAAACAAATTAGCAATTAGTAAAATTCAATTCATAGTTCATAGATATACATGTTTGCCATTAATGACTGATTGATTTTAAGGTCCAGTGGCAATTATCTCATGCATATTTAGGTGAATAAACATAATTATTAAGACAATAATTAAGTTCTTCAAGGTTGGAAGGCAGGGATAATTTAAACTGCCGCTTAAACAACGGGTGTTTTCGAAAAAAGCTTTCATGAACATCCGCAGCAAATAACTCGTAAATTGAAATACACAAAAAGTTGGAAATATGAATAATAGAAATATCACGGCAGCAACAATACAGTGAAAGAAGTCCGAGCCTTCAAAGTCATTATTTCTCTATATAGAGAATTCTATAAGCGGAAAATAATATATCTTTTTTTTAGAAAACAATATGTTGGTACAGAAAATATTGGTCATGAACTACTTCTGTTTTTTAAAATCCAAAACTGAATAGTATATTATAAAACATAATCTATATTTACACAATCAAATTTACTATTCCAGATATTAATCTAATCAAAGCCATTGTAATGGTTTCTAAAGTTCGTGATATAGCTTGTAAATGGAAACAAATAGCAGCAATGTTGGGCATAGCGGTAGAAGAAATTGAAAAATCAAATGACAGTACACTATGTCAGGAAGAAAAGTGTTTTCTTGTGTTCCGGAGATGGTTAGAAAAAGAGGAAGTGACATTTGCTATGCTAACCTTATTATTAACATCAATAGGACACAGAGTTACAGCAGGTATAGCGGGGAAAAAAATAAAATAACAAAAATACCGAACTCCAAGGAAAATTCAAAACGGAAATGTCAAAATTAAAAGCACAAACACATCAAACGAAAGGAAAGCAACTGTCATATTCCTGACTTGGTACAGGCAATTCTTCATGTAGAAAATGTTTTAAACCTGATTTTATAGCTAGCTAAACCTCTCACTTGTATGACAGTCGCATAAAATTCCATTATATTGAAAACGGTGTATGAACAAAACAAACAGACATAAAAAAAAGACGTAAAAATGTCAAAAATAGGGGTACAGCAAAAAAAAAAAAAAAAAACCTAAAAAACTAGAAACTTAAACAGTCTTCTAAAATAATCAAACCTGAATGCATATACAAATAAGTAGTTGTTAAAATATATATCATTTTGTATTAATATATAGCCTTTAACTTTCCTGAACAATATCCAGATCGCATCTGATCAAAATTAATGGAATAATAATAAATATATAGGCTCATTTGGTTCGTAAACCAATATTATGACATGTAATCGCCTGTTTTTTTATAGCATCTTATGGTAACATCATCTAAGCTAATCGCCTATTGTTTAGATGTAGCATCACGCTACAAGTCTAAATGTCTATCAAATTATAAATTATTAAGAGTGTTTGATCCAAACGAAAAAAATCCACAGCACGGGTAGGGCGACATATGCATGTCTACCTGTCTCTCGTCCTTGATATGCTTTTAATTTGCCCCCGGACAATACACATCAATTCTTTCATCAGAAAAGGAAAGACATATACCTGGTATTTTTCTCAAATTTCTGTATTCATGTTTGCATTTTGTCATTGTGTTGGTTATAAGATAATGATGTGATTTAAAAAAAACAAAGTTTACATGATATTTAATCAATTTATCTATTTTAATTTCAGAACATATTCGTAGAAAGTGGATTGTTAATTCTCCAAAAGAAATAACTAAGACAAAAAGTAAATTCTTCACGAAAGTAGAATTGGAAGATAAAAAGGAAAAGAATAGTTCTGCAAACTCTACGCTTACCATTTCAAGCATCGATAAATGAAAATCCAAGAAATATACAGTTTTATAAAGTTATAGATGGCAGCTAGGAAATTGGTTAATTTCGTTGAAGATGAGATATAATTAATATTGTAGAAAACAAAGGTTGACAATGTATGCTTGTTTCTATTTTATATAAAAAAAACGATGGAGAAAAAAATATATATGTGTCTCCTTTAAGTTAACTACTGTCAATGTAAATGATTTTAAGAATGCTCGTATTTTTACATCTTTTATATAGTGTCTTGACAACTTTTATATGGAAAAGTGTATGTATGAACACATGTAAGGGTGGACTACATATTGATAGAACATGGTGTATAACTACTTAACATATTAGGATTGGTGAGTCTAGAAAGAGAAGATTTATGTTCCAAATATCACAATAGCTCACCAATGATACTTATCAAACCAAACATGTCAATACTCATAGAACCGCAGGTGGTCTCGTGATAGCGTGCTCGTCTTGTGGGCGGGAGGTCGCAGGTTATGACCAAATACTTCTCCGCTTAGCACGCTTCATTTGGGAGTAAGAGCAACGACTAGACGGCCGGAGTCGGAATAACGAGTCCGGTTAGGTTGACATGCTTTCCAGGGGACTGTTACCTTGTGTCAAAGCCTTGACTGCTTTAACAGAACAGCAAAAGAAACTGTCTAGGTTAACTATGCCAAAGGAAGTGTCAGCCTTATTTTAAATCTAATTACATAATTCTTAGACTGGAAATATGCAAACAAATCACATGTTTCGAGAGGTTATTGGCGTGCAAATTAACCGATTAACTATCAAACTGAATTAAAGTCCGAATGACTTGTATATAATGGTCTTGAGTCAGCAGCATAGTTTACACATCAATGATATCTAGAAATCCTTAATTTTCTTTCTTAGCACAAACATTTGTTATTTTTGTTCTTTATCCATTCATGTATTTCGCGCATGAATATATCACCGTGAAATCGACATAATGTTAACATAATTTACGAATGAAGTGAAAACCAAGGAATCAAAATTCTAACGGATCAATCACATTCAAATAATTGCAGATGCAAATCATATAAGAATTTTCTTTTATACCATGCCAGAACAGAAACGGTGTTTTTTTAGCGGATGGTACCCCAGTGGGTGATAGTCCAATAGCAGCGATGGATACATTGTAAAAAGTTTACATATGAACAGCTATGCTTGTCCTTTATCGATAAGAATATGACCCCTCAAAACATTTGCAGTTGGGACAGATTATTATGAAAAAGTCGAATTATGTACCATACTGATCTTACTGTGATATGCAAGTTTTAAAACATCATCTAATCTTTGAAGATAGCATAGCAATTTCAGGATGAAGAACAGTAATAAAGCATTGTATAAGGATAAGTGTTTACAAGTATTTCCCAGTATAATTCGGAAAAGTTATCCGTTTCAAATCTATCTCCTTCCAACAAAGGTATTGTGTTTTGGAAAAATAAATCTTGTCCGTGGAAATGACATGATTTTTATAATTTGTGTTCTTGACGTTTTTCGGGATTGGGTTTGTTTTTGAGTATTTTGTGTTATTCGTGTCCATCAATTCCCATGATAAAGACAGATTGTGAGTAAAGCATGTAAGGAATAACCCAAGAGTTCAATAAACTGAAACATATACATAAATGTAGGTCCTCTGGGTGACGTGGAAAATATCCCGAAAGACTGCAATCTTTTATGGTCGGTTCGTTTTCAGCCTCAAAGCAGTATATTTATGTTCTAGATACATACATTGTTTATGATCTCTTATGATATTTGAAATATACTTCTCATAAGCCAATGAAGTTGAAAAGTGGTTATGAATTAATATACAGAAGTTGAACATTATTGTTACTAGTTTTATAAATTCTGACATTGTAAGGTCAGTGTTAAACATTATCAAATATTCTTTCAATACCGATGCCCTGGTATGTAATTAATTTAGCAATATAACACATTGAATTTAAAGATGCGTTGTGTCTTGCTTTTTGAAATTCAGTACCGTAGATGTGTTGTCGTCGTTGTAAAATCTTTGCCGACGATTTAGAACGCATCACTTGTGCTTTGTTCTCAGATTTTTCTGATTTGGGATCATATCCAGAATAGAAGCTGTTCGTCTTGGTTTTTGCTTGCTATCAGCAATGCGCAACTCTTTTATTTCATTTAAAACAGTTCCCACTCTGGAGCATGATATCATCTATATAAACAGAATCCGATTTATGACCTCTTTCAACTTGTATAGCAATAAAATGATCTAATGCCACCGATGGTATATCAACATGTCCTTTAGACCAGACACTACAATCCATGTTACCAACAGATCTAGTCCATAAGCTCGATCCATAGAACTTTAACCCATTAAACACGTATCCTACTAAAACAGACAGGTAATTGGCATTTTGGTAACAAAGTTTGTACACAAAACTGAAACATCTTGGGCCAGTACTCTGTAGAATAGACGAGGTTAACCTTGCTTTTGTCCCAGGTGGAAAATTGTCACCATTAAACCGTAAACACCATTCTGGAAAAAATATGACGTAAAACAATACTGTATTTAAATCGTTTGAGATCTTACCAAAAAATTGTCTTCATTGTTTGGATGTTTGTCTTGTATGTGAAAGGTAATTTTAAACGTTTTTTTCGGAGTTACTAATGATATTTGCTTTATGGTGTAATTTGAAAAAAGAGAAAATAAATCGAAATGAATTGTCATTGCATATCTCTGTTTGAAAAATTTCCCGTCACATATTTATGTAAACGGAAAAAAAAAGAATATGGTATACCCGCCTCATTTTCTTTTTCCTATCCAAATGAATGTTTTCCTGAACTAAAAGACGTTCATTGTTGTTAGAACAAAATTACCATGTGTTAGACGGCAAGCAATTATTTTGGTCGTTGTTGTTATAGAGTTCTTCGATTTTTTGAAGCAACATATTGAATTTTTCATAATTTTACACTAAGTTGTTCGTATTGTCCCATTGATTTGTTCGGTCTGATATGAATATATATACTATTTCTTTGTCAATATGTACTTAGGTAAAGCTGATGAAAAAATACCACGGAAGGGGGTGTTATATTAGACGTCAGCTTGAGCAAAACGAACAAAACCTTGGCCAAGATGAAACACACGAAATAACAAAATCAAGACATAGTCGGATACATCTTTGTCCATGGAACTTTTTGATGGACAGTTGTCACATTGGCAATTAGATCACACCTAATCTTTTTATATAGAATGCAGTAGATAGATGGATGGATGTGAGGCTGTTTAACGCTAAGTGTCAAATTAAATGCATATTAATGACGAGAACATGTTGGTGTGATATGAATATTAACCCTGCTTTGTACTAGACCGACACACTGAGCTGAATTTTCAACGTACAAGTTGACAGGGTAAGAGTCCGCAGGATGTCACCCTACCTGGACATATCATTCCGACTCCGAGCCGACCAGTCTCTTACTTCTTAATGTCACGTGCTTATGGGAGAATCAGCAAATACCAATTTTACAGTCTTTGGTATGACCAGGTCAGGACTCGAACCCACGACCTCCCGCACTCGAGGCAGAGACGCAACCACGAGATCACCGATGCGGTTACACACTACATTGACAATTATATTTTGAATAATACAACCTTGTTCCGAAAGTGTAAGTATTCCCCATAGTAACGCGTGCTACCGGTTTTAGTGAGCATATATTTATATTATAATTCTGATCGACGTCCGATAACTTACTAACGTCAATGCAAGTTGATCTTCAAATAGACATCGAATTGTAACGTCTTGAATAACCAGGGCGAATTCCTTAAATCGGCGCCAAATACATTATGTGTTACTGAAACTCCATTTCCAGTTATGATATGAACATGTTTGCGTGATGTTATGCCTCTATAGACAACATGACTAACAACCATTGTGTTGCTCAGTTGACTATTAACGTATGTTACAAAAGATAACACCCCGTCCTAAATAATTATCAGTCAAAGTTGGGTAAATGACAACAATACAGCATATTGTAGGATCATTGATAATTTTCGCATTGAAAACGTTGATCCATATATAACAGTGAAAAGACCCCATAAGGCTGCAAAATACAATACAGTGTACTTACCGGTCTTGGGAAGTTCAATAGATTGATGCATTTCCCAGTATCCAATGTCTGTCTTGCTATTTGTATATCCACATGTATCTCCGTTATTGAAATGACAGTTAAATACATTTGTATCTAAAATTAGAAGACCGTAAAACTAAAAGCTACAAAAACGCCAAAAAAATGATAAGTTCAAATGTGCATTTCGTGTTATTCGCTCGTTCATTTCAAGGCATAATTTTCAAGATTAAGAACTGTACAAGTTTACCGATTTAGATTTTTCCAATTTTGCAAAACGAATTGCTATTACAATATTGAATTATTTTCCCCATATCATCCGTATTTGAAAATTTTCCTTGACGGAAGTGGATGCAGAGTTTAAGAATTTTAATCTTTTCGTAATATTGGTATTGGCAAAAACGAAGCAACTACTGTTTTTCTTTTCGAATAACGATTTCACTTTTTCATTCGTACCTTTGCATGTCCTATTTAAAACTTCAATATTATCTATAGCAACGCCTCCATCTGAATGGCTGAATACCCGGGAAGCAATAACATGTATTTCAATGACTGGTGATGCAATTGCTATGGCTGCTTCCGTCCAATCACCGGATATGTATGATAATTCCCATAACTCATGCTGAAAACTTCCACTTCTGAAGTCAACAACTGATAATTTTAAACAGTTATGGTTGAAAAACTTGTAAGAAAATGTCAAGCATCTGTCTCCTCCAATGTCCTTGAACCTATATTTAAGGACTGCTTTATTGGATTGATTTGCTTGTACCATATATGTATCTGCGTATAAATAATGACCTGGAATAGATACAAAAAAAAAAAATTCGTTAAGACAACAGGGAAAAAAGGAAACCAGTTAAGAAAGATAATTTCTGACAATACAATAAATCAGAACGACTACGATAGAAAGACCAGATAAACAATGGTTCATAAAAATACATAACAAATATAAAATATTTAGCAGTACAAAAATGATCAGGATAAATTTTCTGGCTCTGTTACTGTTTTTGCAGATTCATCCCTACTTGTCGTGTAGTTAGTTTTTATGGAAGTCATATAGATTAATAAATCATGAAATAGAAAAAAAGAGGTCATTGTGATCTCAAGGTGAATATTGTATATTAAAATGAGTTTCGCGAATCATTCCGCTAAACCCCTTTTATATTGGGACTTTGATAAAGCAAAATACCTTCAGATGTTCGAGTCGTACTGTCTGTTAAAGGTTGACCTCCTGAACTCCAGCCTGCTTTTCGTTTTGTCCACATAAAACTGCCCGTTGATATATCCTCAAGTGAACATATTCCAGGCTTTTCAAAATCACACTTAGTGTCAAGATAATAGTCTAAAATTTGAAATACATGTATAATATATCAAGAATATGTGTTTAATATATAATTATTTATTATAAAATCAATAATCTAAAAATATCCAGTAACTGTTATTAAGAATAAGAGTAAGAAGAATGCAGGAATTTATAAAAGGAAGAACCAAACAACACATTTACAAATATGCAAATACTTGTGCTGCTAGATGTATTTCCAATTTCCAGCTACCTAAACACAAATGTCAACGTGTCATTTAGTCATTAAGGCTGATAAATACGTACTGTAAATTTTATTGATAAAATTTCAAAATTAAAGATAGAATTCCCCCTAACATAAAAAAAAGTAGATAATATCATCTACTAGATAATTAAACTAAAAGTAGTTGAGGCTTTAGATCTACTTCTTACTCTACTCTTAGAAGATAACACACGCATATACTCCCCCCCCCAAAAAAAAAAGACGACAAAAACAGAAGAAATAAGAAAAAAAAAGTCCAGTTCCCTAGCAGATGATGCAGATGACTGAGGTTTCTCTAGAAACACGTGTCGATCGCATATTTATCTGTATCATACATGTAATTTCATGTAATTTCATATTGGAATCTATTGAATCAATTAAACACTATATGTATATATGATTGGATAAGTGCAGATGATTTATACTGAAAGACATATTAAGTAGCTAGCTAACTAATACCTCTGATTGCTGTGACAGACTTAATCCAGGTATCATATTTTGTTACTCTCGTATATACTCCCGGTAACGTAGATTTACCACAAATACCACCACCCCAACTGGTCACACCAACCACTTGCCAAGTTCCATGGTTATTTTGACACATAAGCGGACCACCACTATCACCCTATCGAGTATATATTACATTTAAAACTAAGAAAAATAAACAATGATGATGATAATGATGGATGGCTGCTTAACGTCCAGCGGCAAATTAATATGCATATTCAGGACGAGAAAATGTTAATGTAATATGAATATTAACCCTGCTTTGAGCTAGACCGACAAGAAGAGACGGATTTTTAACGTGCTAGTTCACAAGGTAGCAGTCCGCAGGAAGACATGTCACCTTACTCGGAAACATTATTCTGACTCCCAGCCGACCAGTCTTTGCAGCAGCAAATACCAATTTTACAGTTTGATCTGGCCGGGGCTCGAACCCACGACCTCCCACACTCGAGGAGAACACGCTACCACGAGACCAATGAGACAGCAACCAGACAACACAAGCTAACTGAAAACATCGTCCTGAATATGCACGAAATATTTGCCACTGGATGTTTAGTAAACAACAACCAATCTGTCTGAACTCAAATATCTTGAACGCCATTTTGAGCAATTAAGCAATCAATAATTAATCAAACAGATATTTTGATGTCACTACACAACTTTTTACAATTACCGGTCAAACAAGTTGTATACAAAATCGACTCAGTCCTGACAAAAAGTGATTAATCTAAGGGGAATTTGTGTTCTGCCTTCTACATCGGGAGAAAATTTTCATAGGCGGTCGCGGGTCTCTAAAGCAGAATTTGAATATCAACTCTAACATTTGCCTATAGAAGATACATAAAGATTATTTATCACCACAAATAAGGTGTCTGTGATCAGTCAAATGGATGTGGGATGAGCTCAAACTTGTTCCATGATTTTGGCAAGTATATTCATTCACTTTTTGCAAAGTCTTCTAATAGAAAAAAACCAATTTAGCAGCGAAAGTAAGAATCACAGTATTCCATACACAAACAAGTTTGAGTCATTTACAAGACTTAAAGGAAAAATATTATTCAATGTTCCCGATGTTCACGATGATATGATAAAGCTAAATATTTCTCTCACTTGGATAAATTCATCTTCTTTTTTTTTTTTACATATAATCAATCGTTTTTCCAAGTTAAACAAAATAAAAATAGAAAACCCATAGCTAAAATTTTCTTTAAAAAGACACGTAAGATATATGTAGCCTGTAGAACTATAAAAAACACACCTTTTCAAATCATTTACATGTACTTGCTGGTCTTTTTTCATTTCTCAATTAGAAAAGGGGGCCTAAAATTTATCAACGAAATATATCTTACTTGACATGTGTCGCCGCCTTTTCCCGCCAGGATTCCAGCACATATCATACTATCATTGATTTTTGATGAATATGCTGAACTGCATTTCGAGTTAGTCCATAAGAACGCCTTAGCATACATTAAATCATTAGGTAGTTTTTGAAATTTTGAATCTACAAAATTCACGAGTATTTATTTTCGTATAAATACTCTAAAAAAAGTTCGCAACATCAATATTTTTAAAATCAATTTTGGTGTTGAATTTGCAATAAAATGAACATTAACTGTCAGCTTCATATACAAATAATCTACAAAGAAGAATTTAAACGGCTACCACTAGTTGAGCAGAAATGCTTACCCTTCCGGTACATGACTTTACTATTGCGTTATGAATGCATTATATATTTGCTACTGGACGTTAAGGAAGCAACAATCAAACCATCATATTTCCCTATTATTTTTGTAGTGTACTTTGTATACACAATTTTTTAATACTTACAAAGTCATGTGTAATCGTTTAGCTTTAAAGATAAAACATTACAAAGGAGCATGCTTATACGATTATCTTTGAGATGAAATAATTTCAAATAAAAATGATCAACACACCAAACACACCAAGCACGCCGAACAAGCAACGTTCAAATCTTCTCCTAGTTGTTTAAAAAACAAAACATATAAGAATATGGGGGAAAAGTCTTTCTAAAACGGTTCAAAAATCTTACGACAATAACTGGTCGTAAGTTATACTGAAATGGTCATAACTTTATTCATGGAAGATTTTTTTGTGATATTGATCGCTGACCACAGTATTAATGATACCTTGTTTCATTTTGGAATTGAAACAGATTCTAGCAGCTAAGGTATACATACCATTATTTACTTTTATATGAAATGTACGAACCTTTTGGATCTGTTAATCCCCATCCAGCAGTGTAACAAAGGGAGTCACGTGGTAAATGTTGTAAGGTGTTAGGCAAACATATAGGTTTTATATAATCATCAAACGAGACTGGCATCTGTAGAAGCAACACAGCGATATCTGCCTTGTAGATAAAGTTGTAGTCAGGGTTTATAATAATTTCTGATACACGTATAACTCTACCATCAATTCCGTCTTTCATTGGAGTGCCAGTAACGATGGAGACCATATGTGGTACACTCAGAACACTTACAAGGAAAAAAATAGATATGTAAATATACTTTGTTTCGTTAAATTTGTACTCATTATATTTACTTAGAAATCTAAAAAAAAATATACATGTATTACATATATATGTTATATATAAGTGACGTAAAGTTACCATGTGAATCAATAATGTGATAAGGACCGATGTACTGTCTTCTGGTAAAACTTCCCTTTATCGTAGTTATAGACCTTTTATGCTTATTAATTCATTAAATCATATTAAGGTGGTTTTCTTTTAAACACCACGAATGAAATGTTGAAATTATGTGCTTCCAAATATACCTTTCCACACAGTGTCCAGCCGTGATCACCCAGCGGTTAGATATCAGTGTTCCTCCACAGATAAAATTGTTCCCTTTTCTAACGGCAACAACCCATGGCCACTGTCCTTTATATGCTTGGGTACCACCAATTATATAAGGTATCATTAATGATTGGCTTCTTTCTCCACAATCTTTTAAAAAGCAATAAATATAAGGCAACACCATCTTGTTATAATAAAGCTGAATAAGTCAAATAAACTCATAAATCATAGATACCAGGATTAAAATTTAGTACGCCAGACGCGCGTTTCGTCTACAAAACATTCATCAGTGCCGCTCTAATCAAAAATATATCTGAAATATGTGTTAAATAGTTTATTACTATCAAATAAGAAAACTTATTAGTTAAATATTAATCTAATGCTAGGTACAATTTGGTGTAACTATGATACTTTGGGCCCCAAACAGTTCTCGTAGCATTATACATTCTAACTGTAAACCACAATGTATTACGAAAGTGTAATGTATAGACACCTTGATTAACATATTGTAAAAAGGCAGAAATATAAAAATTATGTTGAGTGCAATGACGATATCTGTAGAATAACAAATGAGATAACCGATGGGTTTCAATATATCATTTTATCTTTGCTGTAATCTTTAGTTGATATCGACTAGGCGGCTAGGTTATTCAGATATAAAATATATGTCATATTTTAAAAACACAGTCACAAAAAAAAAAACAGAACAAAAATGAAAAAAATATTGACCCGTGGATTAAAAGAATTGACCTTTACCTTTCTTACTACAGGTAAGTGTCATCTCCGTTTTACTATGGCAAATTGTCGAAGGATGTAAATAACTATACAAATGGTTGTCATCTTGTTGTCCTTGCTTGCTGGACATATATACAGTGTGAATGGAAGGAACAGTTTGCGATCCTGATAGATTACTGAAATATATTTAAAGTTATTTTAATGGTACTGTCAAATGATAGCTGAGACTACAAAAACCATGTTTATACGCAGTTCAAAAAGGTGAAAGAGTATAAAAAGCCGTTAAGGGGCATATCTCATCTCTGATTCATCAGCACATTTACGGTCTGTATATAGATCATCTTATTTCTACACACACCAGCAAAGGTCTTTGAACAACTAACCTATAAGTAATAATATTAATTTTCTCTTAACATGGTTGCATAACTTAACCTTAAATGAATACACTACATATATCATCTCGTTTTTTAAACTTTTATTATAGTGTAACATGATGCACTAGGCATGTGGCTGTTTAAAGTCGTTTTGTATCTAACGGTGTGCCTGAATTCCGGAAATTCTATCTGGAAACAGTCCTTTACCTTTCATTTGATACCCAAATTACCAAAAAGAATACATAGTATGATATTTACACCTATGCTTAGGAACTACTTTGTTTTAAATATGCACTACTTTCCACTATGTTCTTTTTGATCGGGCCCGATTTGGTGGTGTTACATCTTACAAAGTCTATCAATTATTTTTGCAAAGAAACCGCTCAAGTCGGTGCTAGCGGCTGTCTCAAACTTGCACTTAAGTGAGAGTTGTTTTGCTCCGTGTTGAAGGCCTCATTGTGACTTTGAGATGAATAACAGCAATAAGAGCGCTGTTCTTTTGCTTTTTGTGTGTTTTTGATGTGCATGTACTGATTTTGTGTCATGGATGGATACCCCATATCCTTAGTTTTTCTATTATAATTCTATTTGATACCCATAATGCGGAAAACGGGAAGTTTTGTAGCTATATGTTGAGCCAATACACTGTGACTTCAAACTTAAATAAAATTGTTAGTTGCTAATTATGAGGTATATAACTTCATGCTATCAGATATTTGAATATAGGATGGACTTGAATAGATTGACACTACAGTAAGAAAACATATTCTAATGACCTTTCAAGTTTTTGCATCTAATTGTAACTCCATTTCGTTAAAGTTCGATTATAAGAAATATATGATTATCATTCAGATGACGAATTTTGTTATTTTAATTGAGATACAACAATGAAGCCATATTTTCAGTGTTTTGACACACATATTCTACGATTTCAATGATAATTGGGAGAAAACATAATCTAAATATAAAATACGGAGATATGGTATGCATGCAAATGAGACAACTATCCTACAAAATCCAAATGAAGCGGATTTAATGTAGTCACTTCATGCATTACCCCTAATACACCGATGTCCGTATACTTTTCTCAATAGAATACATAAAAGAATTTAATGGCATCATATTTAAAAAATATTCATAGAGTATCTGATAACTTACTCGTATGATAGATATTTACATATTAAATCACCAACTGTATCCTCCCACTTATCAGCGCAGACCGGAAGCCAAAATCTACCATGTCGAATACGTAGAACCTGATCTTCAAGCATTACTACAAAACCATAATGTAAAATGTTAATTTTTGCATAATTTTCACAGTTTATTTATTCTTTTTGTGATGAAATCATTATTTTATTATAATTTGAATAAATGGATATGTGGGATAGCTAACTAACAAGACCAAGGAAATTCACATTAATTAGACATTTAGATGGCATTTACTAAAACATTGAACATCGAATTTTGACATGTTGTATTTGTCAATGAATTAAAAAAGGTGTATTATTGAAAACCTCTATTTTTCTTTGTATTTTTTCTGTCTAGTATTTTTCTCATACTCATATTTCCCGTAAAAAATCAATTCTATACCCTTTTATGACCGTTACTGATATGTTGAATATAAAACCATAACTGCTCGCTTCACAATATTTAGTTATACAGATTCATGTAATATTTGGTAATTCCATTAATTCATGGGAGCAGAAAATTAAAAAATGTTATGAACCATTAAAATTGGAAATAAGGGTAATAAATGAATCCAAAATCCTCCAGTAGAATACAGGCTTTATAACAGTTAAACCTGTTACTAACCACAATAATTTTCGTCTGAAGCATCGTCACATTCATATCGCCCATTACACTGTAAAATGTCCTTAATACATTGACCATTGCCACATCTGAACTCATCTTTTCCACAAGAACCTGTAGTGAAGAAATTATTTCTATGTTATATAGTCTTTATAATTCTTTTTTTTTAAATTTTTCAGTCTTTATTTAAATTAATGTACAGACCTTCTAAAATTCAAACTGACCACACGCACGATACACGCACGCACGATACACGCACGGTGAATGCACGATACACGCACGGTGAATGCACGATACACGATACACGCACGATGAGCGATGAGCGTTACACGGAGGATTAACGAAAAATGAATGATGAATGATGAACGCACGATACACGCACGATGCACGATGAATGATGAACACACGATACACGCACGATACACGCACGGTGAATGATTCATTGACGAATGAACGATAAGCGCTTAATACACGGTTCTCAAAGCCATTTTATTTGGAATTGCATTTAAAATTGATGTATGATAATGAAAATCTATAAGGGTATACAAATTTTAGATATCTCGCTTTCTGTGTTGATTGGTCGACAGTTTTACTAAACACTCCATGTATTAAATAAATTAATTGTAGTATAGTATTTCCAATATCAATGAGTGTTGTCAAATTATAAAACTCATCGATTTTATAATTCTACTTAATATAAATAATTTATAAATTGCTACGTTTTAAAGAGTGGCGATTCCAGCCATTTTTAAAAAGAGGGTTCTCAACCCAGGATAAAAGGGGTGGTTTTAACCATATGTCCCAATTTAAATGCATTGACCCCCCCCCCCCCCGGCAACTGATTAAACAATCATAATCTCTTTTTTTTTTACTTAAGTTACAATGTTCCTTATATTATCAGAATCGTATGAGTTAATTTAGAGCGAAATATATAATTTGTCAGAAAAATCTGATTCGTACAAATTAATTAGAAATAGCTAAGAAAATGAAATTTACCAAATAATGAGAAAATTTAAACATTTGTAATACCAAATACTTCATAATGTACTTCTGAAACAACTTTTCGTCCTGAATATGCATGAAATTTTTGCCACTGGACGTTTAAACAACCACTGAATAATAAATCAATCAAATTTTGCTCTCAGTAAAAATGAATTAAACAATATAAGCCACAATTGTATCCATCACTTGGTGTCTGTTGTTTGTTTGTACAGTAAACATACTGAATTTTTTTATATTCCTTATACAATTTCAAGTATGTAATAAAATTCATACATATTTTCAAACATCCTGGCACTTCAAATTTCTAGGAGGTGAGATTCTCGGGGTTTTACCTGAAACTCTTTGGGAAATGCAATTTTTAATTCCAATTCCAATTCCAAAGTGTAAAAGATATCCCAAGGTTTTTTAAAATGCATTTCTAATTTGATAAGGAGATTTGAAAAAAAACGATCTCAATGGTAGTTGAAATTATTCAGTGCAATCATTTTGTGTCCGCCGTTGTCTTTCATACATATCAATTGGTGTATCCACTGTTTGATGTTCGTTATCTGTTGTTTATGGCAGTCAGGCCTCGCGATCGGTCTCCAAATTTAAGCCCCCACTGAGGTAAATTAATGATCATTTATAGGGGGGAAGGGGGACTTTTTCTCGGGACAAACATGATTTTCCTTCCTTAAAAACAACTTAACAATTTTCTATATTTTTCATTTAATCATAAACCGATGAATATTAAATGATTTTTAAAAAAATAGAAAAATATTTTTATTCTAATATATCTAAATATCTGGGTTATTTTCTTATCCAAATAATTATTTTTTTCATTTTTTTAAGGAAAAAGTGTTATCAGTTATGGCCCCCTCATTTTAGACATGACATTTTGCTTGATACTGTATGAACATTATTCGTTGCAACTTTTATGAAGAAATTACCGACTTTTTTTTAACTAGATAAATATACAACAAAAATACCGTTTTTTCTTCTTGTATCAATTTCTTTTCACAAAAATTAAATATTAACAAAGAATTGTTACACAAATGTAGAGCCCAATTTTATAACGAAGATATTCCTAATCTCTTTACCGAAATCCGCAAATCTTTATCTTTTGAAACAAAAAAGTTAAGGATGTCTGTTCAAAGGACAAAAATGTCCAAGAAACCGAAATGTTATAAGTAAAATTTTTTAATGTCGAATAATTCAAACCCATTTGTCTTTTAAATTTAGCACATGAAGATATAATTTTTATTACATATACAAATTGATTTTGTAAAAATTAGCTTGTATATATGTGAACTTTTGTAAAAATAAATCACTGTGGTTCTAAAACTGTATCACATGCCCATAATTCTCCTAAAGCTAAATGTCATCGTCAGATTATGAGGGTCTGAATAGGGATTCATTATTTCTGTATTCTATCATTTTAGGCAATTTTTTCTAATCGTTATACCTTTTGTCGATCATTCTTTATTCCATACATTCTAGTACCTCATCATTTTCTTTTCTATATATTTGTCTGGTTATTTTTTGTATTCTTTATTTTTTGGTCAATAATTTTCTATTCTATAAACCCCCATCCACACCCTCATGTATAATGGAAGACGATAAACATTTTAGTATACATACCACCCGTTGTCACTTTCACCTGACATACAAACCACAAATTGTTATTTTTACTTGGACACGGGACTTACATTTTGTATATAATTACGTAATAATAACGGATATAGTAAATTCAGTAGAATATAACCTGTATCAACGCACTGGCTTGTTAAATGAATATTGATCTGACAACTGTTTATCATATTTTTAGTTATTTTAAAATTGAGAATGGAAATGATGAATATGTCAAAGAGACAACAACCCGAAAAGAGCAGATGACAGCCGAAGGCCACCATATTTGATAAGGTTTTAGTTTCTAATGAGACAGTAACCATCGTATTTTCAGAAAATCTCTAAACGGATAATGAGAGTTTAGCGACCTTGACTGGCTATACAGGTCTCTAAAAGTTGCCGAATTTAAGAGCCTATATCAAGAGATAGGCTTTACCTAGCTTTAGGTGTTTAAAAAATATCCATTTAAGAACCAAATGTGGCTTCTTTATATTTATACCAAAATTGAGTTCAAGGCAGTATTTTGTCGAAGAGAACAATTACACAAAGTGCAACATGCGAGAAGAGGTTTCATTTCCCTTATTTATTTTTTATTGAAGTGAGTAATCTTTTGAGATTACTTCACGGAAATATATTTTAAATGAAAAGGTGCAACTGGATGCATCCCTAAAAAACAAATTTAAATATATATATATTACCTGAAGATCTGTAAAAGCCGTGAAAGCGCTAGTAAAAGTGATGAATGGAAACCGTTGTTATCTTTTATTAATTTTCTTATATGTTACCAGCATACGGATTCTACTTAACTTTTCTTTATATATATTTATATATAAAATTTTAATTTGTTTGTTATATATATATATATATATAAAATGACGGATATTCGTCAATCAGACAGCAATCCAACATAAACACGAGTAAGTTAATTGACATCTAGAATAAGAGGTTTAAGCATACCCCGCGCTGGTCAACTTTCTGAGTTGTGGGTAATATTCAATATACATGTAGGACTGTGAAACGGGAAATATACGAAAGATTTGTTTTTACGTACGATGAAGTGTCATTCCCTCAATACATACGGGTCCACCGTGAAACTATTCTTATGATTATATAACGGTAAATGATGATCTCATTAGAGGAACAAATTAAGTAAAGGTACATGTTGAAGCAAGAATAATTTCCACATGCAAAACATCAAATAGGACGATCTCTAAATTAGTACGCGGCACCTTTAACTATTACATTCATAGACAATAACACTAGTAAATGATTTTATATACTGACATTGAAACAAATATACTGCTCATAATAATTGCACATCTGTAGACTTTAATCTAGGTATCCCGCGTTATATAAATCATTGCAAACCATCGAACAGCTCATCGCACTTCGGCGCAGACCAGTGCACTTCACGCGTGGCCTTGAAACTTTATGATCTCCATTGCACCTCCGAGTCATACACACATATATATTCCGATTTTCTAATAATGGTTTTTATTATTTTAATTCCCGTAGAAATTGCCCAAAGAAATAGAGTTTATTTAAGGGTTTACACATCTTCATAGCTAAAATATTTTGATACTTATATCACGAACAGATATCTATGACAAACATTTCTTAAATTGTCAGTATATAAATTTAGATTTTTTGTAAGAAACGTAGGTTTCAGCTACAGCAGACTAAATTGGCTTTTGATGGATTGAAGGCTCATGTAAAAATAAGAAAATGTGGTAAAATTGCTAGTGAGTCAACTATTCAAGAAAGTTCAAATCAAGAGGAATGCTAGCAGTTATATCTATACGACCTTCAATAATGAAAAAATACGGGAACTGTAAAGTCGGTTATTAAAGGCCCCGCCCCGACATGAAAAAAATATGAAACAATTCAGTTGAGCAAACTAACGGCCTTCTTTATTTCAAAGCTACATGTATCTTGCCACAAAAAAAAGCCCAAACACATGTATATAACAGAATTGATGTTACGAAAACCACTGAACTACGTGCTTTTGACTTTGGACAGACACATAAATACATGTTATGAATGTGTATAGGCCCTTTATTGGTCATATAGCTCTACACTCCTATCTATTTTATACATTCTTTGGCTTTCAAATATTTAGCACTGAGCGTTCCTAGTGAAAGTAAATCCAGAAATGCGTTATAGGTGCATGAAATTTATAAAGTGTTGTTTTGTGAGGGGATCAAAACGTAGGGATCGATGTTAATGTCTGTTTTATATGTGCAATAATATCGGCCTTCTAACTTTAGTGAAACTCTGCAGTTGTTCAGTGACGGATCCAGGGGGAGGGTTCAGGGGGTTGGAACCCCCCTTTTTTTGGACGATCAATGCATTTGAATGGGGACATATAGTTGGAACCCCCCCCCCCCCCCCTCCCCTTTTTTGCCCTGGGTTGGGAACCCCCTTTTTTAAAATGACTGGATCCGCCCCTGTTGTTTCATGTATTTGATATGCAAATTATCACAAAACTAAAAGGATAAGATGGA